ATCATAAAATGCAATTTCTATTAGTGTTTACCATTACTAATAATTGTTAAAACAAATATTAAGAGTTATTCATTGAGTTAACTTAGAAAACACAACTGAAGTAATTAAATAATTTAAAAAATTTATTATTAATAAAAACAGCAAGAGAATAAGTGAGAAACTCAAAAAATGATGAAAAAATAAAGTGAGTTAAATATAATAACAAGGTGTTAATCAATAAAAAAAGAACTGTAAAAAAGATATAAAAGATGTCAGTATTACTTGTTGCACTTATATTGGGCGTCTACGCAGACTCCAATTTCACAAAAATAAACACATTTGAGAGTAACGTGTATATCCACAACTTAGAAGATTTAAACGTTTGTGGTAATTATATATTAATAGATTTATTACTAGACAATTATAATTTGTGTTTTTCACTGTATTTCATAACAAAGCACTAACGACGCAGTTTCAAATGATGGGGAAAATGTATTATAATGCTCCACAAGGTCAAATGGTAACTGTGTTTAAATCGATAAACCACGTCGACGCTGTCTTTCGTGATAATGGCGAGAGGTACTATTCATACCACCGAATGAACGCAACAGCAAATGTCCTCAATCGCACTCACGCGGTGTTTTACAACATCACTTTCGACAAAACGGCATCGACGCATTCACTTTTTATTAATCACAGATTGTGTCGAGAGTATAAGGGAGTCTCTCCATATTTGGACTACGCCTATGTGGACGACGAGAACCAACTCTGTAGAGTCTGTTTTGAGACTGGGAAGTGCATCTCATTTTTGAATTTTGGCATTTTGTCATCATCCGGCCAAAGTGTCATTGACGAGAATGTTCAAAAGATGACATCAGACAGTTCTAAAAACACGGGAAGAGCTGCTCGGATATTATTAATGATTGATCCCGCGTTTGGTGGGACGGAGGAGACATTTAACTCGGCGCGATTGGACTTACTGACTGCATTGGACACGTTAGCAATGGCAAAGTCTAAAACAGGCTCTGCTAATGTTGAAATTGCAGTCCAAAACTACGACGGGACACAGTCGCCGTTCTCTGCAGACTTCAAAGTGACACAAGACGCACTTTCGAAGATTACTTTCTCAGCTACGGAAATCACACCACCCCTCGCGCAAGCCATTTCGTTGATTAAGAATTACACCGGAAGCAACAAAGCAAAGCCTATCATTCTTTCATTGAACAAAGACTCAACACAGTTCAAAGGGCTTGTCGAGAAGTACAACACGACACTCAGAGAAATCAGTGGAATTGTCTATTCCGAATCCTTTGAAACGGCAGCGTCAAGCACTTATTTGGACTATGAGGCCGTCTCCTCGTCTATTAAGGACAAGTTTTACTTCTTCTATAAAACATCGAGTTTGGACTTGATCAACAGTTTGGTCGTCGACCCCGTGATGCACCTCTCAACACGATTTTTATCACAACACATGTGCAAGAGTTGCTATGGGTACTGTTTATTGGCGGGGAATGATACTACCCAATTAGTCTGTGAATTAAAGTCTCCAGACGACAAAGAAGCGATTGAAACAAGTGTTTTTGTGAATGGGTGCACATTCTCAGAGACCGTTGCACTCGTGTATAAAATCATTGGCGGTGTTGGGATGCTGGCGTTGGTTATTGTTGCTATTGTGGAGTTACTTCTTGTTCTGTTACAAAGGGTTTTGTGTGGGTCCGGTCGACAATTCAAAAACGTGATGGCCGAACAAATCACTGTAACTACACAGTCATCCCTTTACGAGGCTGAAGACAACGAAGCTCAAAACCCAATGTTCCAAGACTCGTAATTCGTTCGTGCGTTTTACTTTTGTTCATATAACTTTTTGTATCATTTAGTGTCACAGATGTTACAAAAATGTTACCCGAATTTTGTATCATAAACTGTTACAAAGGGTGTAGAATTAATAAATTAATAATTAAAAATTGGCAAAAAGGATGTTCCTTTTGTTGAATTCTCCTTTGTGTTTGTCGGCGTTGTCGCCGACTTTTGTGGTTTATTTCTGTTCTTTGAATTCTCTATATTCCTCCACTTGTCTTTCAAATCGACACAACTCCTCCCGTCGAACTCATAGGCGCTCAAAATACTTTTCCAATGTCCAACACCAAACTGCTCGACCCCAGCGATCAAATTTTGTGTTTCTTCTTCTGAGAATCGTCGCTTCTTCTTTTTCTGTTTGTTTTCGTCATCTTCGCCTTTTGAAGAAGGTTGTGGCGTTTTCAGCTTTTTCTCTTTCTTCTCCTCTTTTTCACACCGTACCTTTGTATCAGTCTTTTCTTGCAGCTTCTCTTGTGTAACAAGAAAATGATTTTCTGTTGCAGTTACTAACCCACGTGATTTCAAAAATTCCTTCACTTTTGGGTCTTCGCCAAGAACAATATTTTTGAATGTCTGGCAGTCGAGTTGGAGAGCTATTTGCATTTCTCGAATAGTAGTGAAATCACTCGAAGGCCACTCAAATTGCTTTCCCAATATTTGTCCGTTCAAGTAACTAGTGTAAGTGTCGAAGACAAGTGAACTTCCCATTGTGTTTCTGTAATTCTGAAGAAGCATTTTGATGTGGTCAACAGTCCTATCGAGGGGGTATCTAGACAACAGATACTGCACTTCTTGGATATTTTGTAAGTACTTTGGGACATCCATGTATTCATCTTTTGGTGATGCCTTCAGAAGACTGTTTGTCGCATTTAAACAAGTTTTTCTTGAAGGTGTGACAAAAGGGAGTTCTGATGCGGATGGAAGGAGGATGTTCAGTTGTTTGAAAAGGAAATTTGAGTCGACGTGTGACGTAACGAATAAGTGAAAAGAGCAGATCATCCCCAAAATGCCGATTAAAGAAGGTACAGATTCAATCACTTTAGCTTTAGGGTCTGTGTAGTACATTTGAATGACTAATGAAATAGCTGAAGGGAACATAGACAAGTCACAATACGGTGGGGTGATCGATTCCATAAAGTCCATCACATGGAGTAAATTCCGTTTGTTGTGCAACGTTTGTGGGATGTCAAAATCAAAGAGGGCTTTCGCTCGAATAAGTTGATCAAATAAGTCACACGGGATATCTTGATCAATTAAATATTCACATATCGATGCTAAAAGTATTTTATTGTTGTCTTGTGTATTCCCATCACCAGAAGGTGGCGTGTCAAAGTTTTTTAATAGCCGACGAGTCGTTTGACATGCCTCGTCATTCGTCGACATTCGAATTCCTTTGTATTTACCTGTTTCTAGGGTTGTATCAATTCAAATAATCATAGGAAAATAAGTAGGGTTGAGCCATTTTTCAACACTTTTGTTTTTGTTTAGTATTATTTTACACGGGTTTTATTTCATTAATGCGGTGTATTATTAACTAATAAATGCCGTTTCGTATGTGTTTGACTCAAAAATGGAAGAGAAGTCCAATAATTTACTTTGTAAATGATATATTTTATTATTTATTATAATAATATAATATTTGTTATTAGAATTGTTACTTAAGTTGTAATAAAAAGCATTTTAGGATTATCTGTTAACGTCTTTAAGAGTGATATTTTGATGTAAGATGTTTATTAAATAATTTCTTTGTGTTATATAATAAGTTAATTTCATTGATGATAATGAATGACTGTATTGTTATAAAGGTTGTTTGTTGTTAAAGAAAATAATACTTTTAATGATTTATAAAAATAGTAGTGCATGGATGAAGTTATTTGTTCTTCAATAAAAAATGTAATAAGAAACTATAGGTAAAAAAAAACATAAAAATTGGACATTTTTATTTATTATTTTAATTAAAATTATGGTATAAATAACTAAAATAATATTGAATGAATTAATACTATATTTATTGTATACATAAATTATATATTTTAATTAAAAAAAACATTACAATTTTGCCTACTATCAAACATCATTTCCAACATGACTTTTATTTCTCAAAAGAACAAATTCTATACTCAAATTATTTATTTATTATCATTGTACTATTAAAAAAATGTAATAAAAGTATAACTATTAATTATATTAGTCATAACTATAAAAACAGATGAGACACAACTCTTCTCAATTGAAAGAAGTTGTCCGTAAAATTCAGAACAGCTTTAATGAGCTCGAAGAAACGATAAACAAAATGAAACAAAACATTCCACAGCTTGAAAGTGAGGTTAAACAGTTATCATTAGATAAAGCACGTAATGATCAATATTCAATCGAAAGATTACAAATGCGTTTTCACGAATTAAATGAAATGTTGTTATATAAGAAGAAGCTCATTGCTCAAAAGTTCTTTTTAATGAACCCACAACTCAATATAAAGGTTTATGACGTCTCACAATTAATGTATAAGCCAGAAAAACATGTAGCGACTCCTCCCCCAGAGATTGAAACACATTCCATTAACGCAACACAATACCAAGTGGTCGAAACAAATCCATTGAGTGTTGTTAGTCAACCAAGTTGTGTGATTTTAAACCACCCACCACTCACTTCACTAAAGCTGAAAAACTACATCCCACTACTTGTAGCAAAAAAGTTGAACTTTTTGAAGTCTTTGTTCGGACAAAACGTTCAACATTGTTGTGATTTGTCATTTCCAATTCAAGAGACTTTTTCTTTGTCTTCTTCGTCATTGCTATTCATTCAGACATCGTGTAATAACATTTTTGGAATATCATTACAAAGAAAAAGCATCATCCCTTTTATAAGACCAAAAAAGGCAACTTTTGAGGAATTAAGTGAGATCCAATTGGGTGTCATTAATGTGACTAATGACGGTATACAAAGCCAAGTAATCGATTTGTTATTCAAATCAATGCTTGGACCTCACAATGAAAATGTCATTGTGAAGACTTTTGAACCAACCGAAATCTTCATCAATCCACATTGCATCTTTCTGTCTATTTACTCCTTTATTTAAATTTACTATTATTATCTGGTTGTTTTATTAATATCATTAATTAATAATTACCCCGGGCTAACAGGTACAAAGTGACTAATTTTATCGATTAAACTATTTTGATTGATAAATATAGTTTTTGTTTTAGTTTAAAGAAAAATTCATTTTTTTGATTAGTTTTATTATAACGATAATTTGTATATTTATTAGTTTTTATTTTAGTATATTTAGTATAAACATATCAATATTTATAAAATGTCGTTTTAAACATTTAAATAGAAACCACAATTATACAAGTCATTCCTAACTTCTTATTTAGATTTTTTGGTTTTAAAAAAATAATAAAAGGCTTATAAAATGTATTATATTTCTATATGAAAAATATTATAATTATTAATACAATAATAAATACTAAATTAAAAAAAAACAAAAAGGATTTTTTTTAAATAACAATTAAAAAAGGAAAAAATTCCGACCAATTTAAAAAAAGTCTGCCAATCGGCAATTTAATAAGTTTTGGACGATACTTTCACTTTTGATTTACAAATTTGGTAAAATAAATACAAAACGATTAAAAAAAATTTTTAAGTTAAAAAACGAATTTTTGCCCAACAAAAAATAATCTCAATTTTGAGGAAAAAGGTGTTTCTAGTTTAAATAGACAATTGACTTTTACTAAAAATGAATCAGTGTGATTATAAGCTATGAAACATGAAATCTTCCCAAAAAATCATTAATTATTCTTAATAGAATACAATCCCATTTATTTACTATAAAGATCCACTCAAAAACAATCTATTTCTTTTTTATGCACGAATATGGGAAGATACTTATCCGTACAATATAACGGTCTTTCAGATATAAACCATCCAAAATGGGATTTAAACGGTATAGTTTTTTATATTAAAATGATACTATACAGTAAAGAAGATAAAAATGGGGAGACAACTCTATTCACCAGATGGAGTTTGTGACTTCTATTATATTATATAAAAGATTATACTCACATTGGTGAATTAAAGAATCCAACACTCACAAACAGTCAAGTTTCAGTCTCGTCGCCTCGTTCGTTTTCGGGATTTTTCTCCCGTCTATTTGGACGTTTGTTTCTTGTTGTGTCCTCGTCTTAATCTGATTGGAAGTGTTAACAAATAGTCACAGAAATTGCTACACCCCCCATGAATAGAACAAACAGCTCTATCACTACACCACTCTCAGAAGCGGAGGACGACTCGATTCAAAAAACACCCGAAGACTCTCCAGAGAAAGAGAAAGGCCGTTCTTTGTTCCAACAAAGCCCCACAAAGCGAATTAAAATCAACAAGTTAGTCACTCCACTTAAAGTCGACTTCATCGAAACGAAACAACCTGCCACTCCTGACGACAAACAAACCAAACAACTTGACTTTAAATATATTAATGAATATATCCAGGCAACTCCACGTACTCAAAGAAAGATGAAGGAAGATCAACAAGCCCACGAGTTAATGATCTGCACGGAATTTAAAGAGGAAGACAGCGAAGACTTACAGCCAAGGTCATTTGGCTCTCCAAATCTTTCTGTTGCGTCTTCCCCACGAAAGATCGTTACCACCAATCAGTCCGCCTTTTTCAAGAAGAGACAACAAAGAACACAACAACGACCACGAACAATTCAAAACACACACGCAGTACAGTCGATTGAAAATGTCGTCGACGAAGGATGTCCCGCGAGGTTCCTCCGCGACATCAAAAAAGTTGGAGAAGGTGCGATGGGAGAGGTGTATCATGCAGTTGAGAAGGCGACTGAGCGGGAGGTAGCCGTCAAGCGGATCATATTGACACGGAAGAGTATGAATAACATGATGAATGAAATTCTCATTCACAAATCGTTAGTCCACAAAAACGTCGTTTCGTATGTTGGAAGTTACTTAGATGATGGATACTTGTGGGTTGTCATGGAATATATGAATGGAGGGTGTTTGACTGATTTATTGAATGAATACAAATACGGCTTATCACTGAATGAGTGGCAAGTCGCGTTTGTGTTTAAAGAGATGGTGATGGGGTTAGCTTACTTACATGGGAATGGTGTGATCCACAGAGACATTAAAAGTGATAACGTATTGATCTCAAAGAATGGCGATGTCAAACTCGCGGACTTTGGATTTGCTTTAAAGGCTCAGACGTGTCGTGGAATGGTCGGGTCTCCATATTGGATGGCACCAGAAGTCTTGTTAGACTCAACATACACTAACAAGGTAGACATCTACTCGGTCGGTATAGTATTGTTTGAACTGATCGATGGAGAGCCACCACATTATGAATGCAGAGGAGAAGAACTGACGAACGCAATATTGAATGAAGGGATACCGGAACCTAAAAGCACAGAATGTGGCAACGAACTCGTCAAAGTGATGAAGAAATGCACGAACAAACGTCCTGAAAAGCGCCCTGATTGTGTCGACTTACTCATGGAAAATGCAGTGCTGAATTCGTGTCACAAGTCCGACTTCAAGTCTATTGTTCAAATGGTGTTCTCGTGAGTATTATTTTAATTTCATTATTTTGTTCTTTGTGAATTTGTGACGATTTCTTGTGAGTCACAAAAATAAATTAATTTTGTGACACTTTTGAATCAAAAATTTTTGTGCCACAGCCCTAATACTAATAAACTAACTTATAAAATAGAACTAAATGGACGAAGAACATAATAACTTGAATTGTAAGAATACCGTGGACACCACTACATTCACAGACAGCGAACAAAACACTCCAAGATACACTAACAACGACTCAGAAGAAACTTCTGAAGACGTATATGAGACGTTAGAAGACTTAAAAGATATGAATGAGTTTGTGATGAATGAATGGAAGTCCAGTCTCCAACAATTCAATGCGCTCATGAAAATGTATGAACAAATGAAGAACGAGAAGGAAACAATGGTCAAGAAGTTGTACGAAGCTATGGAACAGATCAAACAAATGAAAGAGACGGTAACAGACTTGGCTGAGAAGCACCAACAAGTCTTCAACCAATTGGTCGACGAGAAAAGCAAACACGCGGAAACCCTAAGACTCTTCGAGACTCAAACTCTCAACAAAGTGTTGACTTGTCGCTGTGAAATTTGTATAGAAAACAACTGTATAAGTTCTATTCGAGTGATCAAAGAGGACGAGTTGAACGACGCCATTCAAAAGTTAGAACTGGACAACAAGAAGATGCAGACCAAAATCGACAATTTGAATAATGTGAACGACTTCATTAGTACAACTTTTGACGCACCACCATTGAGTATGAGTGATATCAAAGAGATAGTCAATGGGTATGAAGACATGATTAGATACGAATTAAAGAACACTGAAATTTGCTACTCAGACGCATTCAACAATGACAAAGCACTTTCTGCAATCGACGACTTTGTTGAGGAGAAGTGCAACACGTCCGTTAGGACTGTCATTCCCATCATCAAAAACTTCAGAAAAGCCCTCAACAGAAAGGCTTCAAGAAGAACTACAATATGTGCCACCAACCCCCAAATGGACGAACAACTCTTGAGGTTCCAAAAACTCCAAAGGTCGTCTTCAATCAACTTAAAAAATTCAACAGCTCTACTTGAAAGGAAGAAGAGTCTGTTATCGACACTCAACAAAACCCCAAGAAAAGTGTAAAACCCTCTTTTTCTTCCACTTTTGAGTGCTTTTTTATCGGAAATCAAATTGAATTTTTAAAGTGCTTTAGATTAAAGTCATTACCGATATAATCAATTTTTGGCATAGAGTGCGTCGATGACGTCCTTGTATCTCTTAGCGATAGCTGGTCGTTTCAACTTCAATGCGGCGGTGAGCATTTCATTTTCGGGGTTCCAGTCTTCACTGATCAGCGCGATGTGTTTGACGATTTCCTTCCCACTCAGCCCACTTTCGTTCAATTTCATAATAGAGCGGACCTTTTGGATGACTGATTCGTCGTTACACGCTTCAACAAAGCTCTTTCCTTCAGAAAGTTCTTCGACGACCTTTTTGTTTGGGAGCACGAGAGCAATAGTGAAGTCGTGGAACGCATCCGCGAAGACACAAATTGTGTCGACCACTTTAGAAGTTGCGTATTTTGACTCGATGAGTTCTAATGAGATGTATTCTCCACATGGCTGTTTAATAATGTTTTTCATACGATCGATGATGCACAGATGATGATTGGCGGTGATGGTGCAAATGTCTCCAGTGCACACCCACCCATCTTTTGTGAAGGTTTCCCGTGTTAACTCGGGGCGATTGAAATATCCCTTAGACACTGGTGGGCCTCTTATCATTAATTCTCCTTTTGGTGGGACAGTGTTAGTGAAGTAATTCAAGTCGGGGACATCTCTTAATTTAGCTTCATAATGCGAGAAGAGAAGACCAATAGTCGATGTCGTGCAGTCTCCGGGGGGCATACAACTTGACGCTCCACACAATTCAGTCATCCCAAAGCCTTGAACAACAGCAACACCAGGTAATATGATTGTTAAGAAGGTCTGAAGTTCTGTTGGAAGTGCAGAACCTCCAACAATCAGTTGTTTAATGTTCTTTCCAAAAATGGACTCTTTGATTCCTTGGAAGACCACTTTGTCGATCATTTTTAATAGCGGCATGAACAAATAAGGCGGGCAGATTTGATAATCGATGTATAACCTCTTTTTCAATTCCATACACCCATAGAAGAGTCGCTGCTTTGTTAATGGGGCATTACTAATGTTCTCTAATATCGACTTCCTGACTCTCCCATACACAGTCGGGACACCACAGATGAAAGTCGGCTGTAAAGCTAACATGTCGCTCTTGCAATTCGAACAAGACGTGCCAAGTAATGTCCGTGGATTTGCATAGCCAAGAGACCCAAAGTTGGACAGCACCGCAAACTCAAAACACAATTCAAAAATGTGAGCTAAAGGCAAGTACGCAGGCATCTTGTCATCTTTCAATTCAAAGGAGTCGTTGTACGCTTTACTTAATAACAAAATCTGCTTTTGACCAACTAAGACGCCTTTAGGGTTTCGTGTGGTGCCTGAGGTATACATGATGAAAGCCAAATCTTCACTCTCTACAGTTGGCGTGTTACTCTCATCTTCTTCTGATTCGTTCAACTGCTTAAAACCAGTGATGTGCACTTTCTTTGTGTTATTCAACGGAACGCTTTCGTCATGGTCGACGTCGATAACTTGAAAGTGTTCATCAGCAAAGTCCGGAAGAATTTTGTCGAGCTTGTCGGATGTCTCAGAGGAGACGATTATACCACTACACTTAGTCTCTTCAAGTGCTATTTTGGCAGAGTCTTCCCCTAAAGTAGCATATACTGTCACAACTATTATACCTTGTCTGTTACAAGCTAATGCCATTGCCATCCACTCATATCGCGTCTCACAAAACATCCCAATTTTGTCGCCTTTCTTCAACCCTAACTTCCTAAGACCAGCAGACAGTCGACATACCATATGATAAAATTCAATGGAAGATATCCACTTGTAATCGGACATCTTGTACTTGTATAAATTCTTTTCGACATCTTTCCCATTCACTTTGACAGTATATGTCTTCACAGAGACTTTATCGAGCTGCTCCCGGTACCCAATGAAATCTTTTTTCTCAGTCTTCGCAAAACTGTTCACTAAGTCCGCTATGGTGGTATTCCCTTGTGGCGTAAAATCAGTTAACTTCTCGACTCCTTTGTACCCGCGAAGAATGCGCGTCTCACCAGGGTTCGCTACACCAACCCATTCGCCTTCTTTCTCCTTCGGATATCCCTTCGGGCGCAAGAAGTAAAGAATAACACAAGTCACCACAGTAACTACAAGCAAAGTCTCCAAGAACATGTGCTTTTTCAATTGAATTTTTCAAATGAATTAATTCACACGCATTTTTGTGCTTTGCACTTTTGGGAGATCATTTTAAGTATTCGCCACTTTTCCTGAGAATATTGAAACACTCCAAGTCACTTGGATTTGGTGTTTAAAATGCTCCTTTCTTTAATCGACAGTTCTCTCATCCATTTCCATCGATGGTTCTGTTTGAATGTAAAATTTATTATATGCAAACTATATTTTTTTTTCATTGAAACAGTTAAGGAAATTTGATTCACTTGATTTCAATTTTGAAGGCATTTCAAGCGTTTGAGAGCCTTTTTAATAACATTTATAGAAATATTTTTATAAAAAATAGTTTATTGTGTGTTTTTCTAAAAAATGCAGATTTTTATTTAAACAGAACTAATTAACAAATCGTTTAATTAAAAATACTATTATTGAACTAATCACCATTTACCAATGGATTTTTTATTTTTCCTATTTTGATATGGCATTTGCTCTACTCAGCAAAATTAGTGATTTGTTTTTTTTAAAATACAATTCCTCAAAAAATGCATGAAAATCTCTTAACACTTGACAAGTTATGACCAACATTGAAACACATTTTTTTGTAAAATTTTGTTGTTCTTCCCTTTTCTCTTTTAATGTATTATATGTATTTGATTTTTTTGTAGTAAAATTATAATACAGTAAAGTGTTATTGGAATGACAGATTTTTTTCTAACAAAACGAGAAATTTTATTACAAAAATAGCATTTTCAGTTCGAAATAAAAATAGGCAAAATCCTTCTGAGTTCCTACAACGAAGTTTTTTTTTGTTCCCGAAATGATAGACTTTTAGTTGCTCACATTCGAAGCCACAAAGTGAGAGAAGTGAATCTCCCCTTTTTTGAAGAATCAAAATTCCTGATAAGCGCAAATAAAAGGGGAAGATATCTTCAAAGACCACTTCATGTCTTCCGTCGCCCAAACACAAAACAGTGACTCCCACATCCATCGTGATGGAGACTTGATCTACATGGAATGTAAAGAGAACTTCCACAACAAGAGAGTCGGAGAAGACTCTTTTGAGGACTATGTCTCGCACAACGCCTACGAGCTGTTTGCGCGCCGATGTAACAAGTATCCCACTGCTGATGTGCTTGGGTATAAAGAGAAGTTACCGACTGGGAAGTATCCGAAGGACATTGGATTCTCTTGGTATACTGGTGAACAAGCGTTACAGATAGCGAATGAGATTGGAAGTGGTGTGAAGAACATATACAACCTTCCTAAAGGATCCTTTGTTGGGATCTTCTACCCTAATAGAGCGGAGTGGGTTCTTGTATGCCAAGGACTGATTCGAATGGGGTTAGTCCCAGTCCCGTTGTACGCAACGTTAGGAGTTAATTCCATCAATTACATCATCGATCTGACGGGAATGTCTCTCATCTTCGTCTCCAGCGAAACCGTCGCAAAAGTCCCGGAACTCAAGTCATCGAAAACTGACGTCAATTTCGTCTATATTGATCCAGTCGTACCTTTGACTGTCAGTTCAGAACATATTAAGACTATCACTGAAATCAAAGAAAGTGGGAAGAGCAATATGGTAGATGCAGACTTACCAACACCAGACGACTTGTACTCGATCTTTTTCACAAGCGGAACAAGTGGTGTTCCAAAGGGTGTTGTCCATACACACAAGTCTTTCCTCTCAGCAGTTTGCACTTTCCAGTCACTTAATATGTACGACAAAGATACCATCGCACTTGGGAGAACAACATATTCGTACCTCCCAATGGCTCATTGCTTTGAACATGAAGTCTGTTACATCTTTGTGTTGGGCTATGGCAGAGTCGCATTCAATTGTGGTGGACTCGGGGAGCTACTCAACGAAATCCAAAACTGCAACCCCGACCACTTGATCGCAGTCCCAAGAGTGTTGCAACGCGTGAAAATGGCTATGGACGCATACATCGCATCAACTAATTTCATATCAAGAATGATCACCCCACCGTCCGCACTGTTGGGAACTAAGCTGAGAACTATCATCAACGGCTCCGCACCACTTACTATGGAGATATACAACTACTTCAGAGTTAATTTGCCTAACACTCTGATTTTGCAAGGGTACGGCTCCACTGAAACGTTTGGAGGCGTCTGCTGTAACGCTAAGGGACTCCACGACCCTGAAATTCTGTCGATTGGAAGTCCATTCTTACACACCACTTTTAGAATCAGAAGTGTCCCGGACATGGAGTATTTGACTTCAGACAATCCACCAACTGGGGAATTGGAGATTAAGAGCACTAACAACTTCAAGGAATACTTTAAAATGCCGGATTTGACGAAAGCCTCATACACCGAAGATGGGTTCTTTGTTACAGGCGATATTGTTAAGATGAATGTTGATGGCTCGATTTCTATTATAGACAGAAGATCCAATTTAATCAAATTGGCCCAAGGCGAGTTTGTTGCGGTTGAAGCCGTCGAGATGTCGATGCTTGGAGGGAGAGTACACCAAGCCTTTGTCAACGGAGTTTCTACAGACAACTTTGTCGTTGGCGTTGTTGTCGTTGGCAAGGATGATGTAGTTACTGAAGAAGACATGATGGCAGAAGTGAAAGAGAATTTGGAGAAGAAAGGGTTCCCCGCCTTTGCCATTCCAAAGGCACTCTATATCGAACACACGCCATTTTCAGAAGACAACGATTTACTTACTCCGTCTCTCAAGCTGAGAAGAGCGAACTTGAAGAAACACTATCAGCAAGAAATCGACAAGATGCGTGCTCGTATTAATAATAAGAATTGAATATTCAATTGAATTAGTTAATGCGTTTCATATTCTTTATCAATAATAATAATTAATAATAGTAAATAATAGTATATTGATACTTTCTATAACAATTTTAATAACATTTTAATAACAAAATAAAGACCAATAACTTGAGCAAATGAACTGATAAAACTGTAAAAAGAACACAAACAAAATGGAAATAGGGACGAACGTCCAAATCGACTCTTTTAAACAGTATTTTACGTTTGATCCGACGTATAAGGACTTGAAGGAAATTGGAATGAACGTTGGGTTTGATACGATGTCGATTAGGTCTATTGCGTGGAGAGTCTTTTTGGGCTCGTTGAAGGGAGTGTGCGGTGACGAGTGGATTGAGCAAGTCAAGGTGCAACGAGAGAAGTATCAGGTTCTTGTTGACAAACTTGAGAATGGCCCCATTCGAGAAGCCAATTTGAAAAAGTTGAATAGCAACATAGTCACCACGCCCGATCCATTGTCTAATGAACACACTGTTTGTTAACTATACATATATAGCAACTTTATTATAATAAATAATACTCTAATAAGTAGACGCCGTGGTGTATGCACTTTGATGAAATGGATGTTGAGAAACGTGTCAGTGTAGATGTTCTCCGATTGTTTAGTGAGTACTCTTTTTTCAAGAACGAAGACGTGAGAGAACACATTAAAAGAGTCTGTGTCATCTATTCTTTAGAACACATGGATTTACAGTACAATCAAGGCTTTCATGAGTTGGTTGGTGTTATGTTCTACGCCCTCTCACAAGATTTGGAACAATGGAAGTTGAAGAAGGCTGGAATTGAACAGGCGTTACAAGACGAATACCAAAGAAGAATCAATGGAGATATAGTTAGAGTCTTAAACTACCTCTTCGATGAACAATACTTGGAACATGACGCTTATACCCTTTTCTCATTGTTAATGAATAATGTGAGGGACTTCTATGACCCTTCGGAAACGAGAAACTCTCTTATTGAATCACCTGATGGGTCTTCGACGCACGTTTGTTATTTTCGAGTGGATTGGAGTTCAATTCAGAGTCGTGTCATATTCATTAATAGACAAAATTGATGTTAAAATGTGAGAAATTGTTCAAAGAGCTTGAGAAGCTTGACAATCAAATGTACTTACATTTGAAATATGATGGCATTCATTTGGTTCTTTTTGGGACGTTTGTTTTACAGCATTCTATCTATTTCTTAATCTATTCATCTAATTCAAATTAATAAGTAACACTCTAGTCGATGGCTTAGACTTCTCTTCGATCGAGAATTTTTAGTGAATGATGTTCTTAATATTTGGGACGCCATATTTTCATATGGAAACGACTTAGAATTTGTCGACTATTTATTCCTTGCGATGGTCATTTACATTCGTGAACCAAGTTTGTTATATATTATAATATTATAATATTATAATATTATAATATTATATTATTATATTATAATTTAAATGGTAAATAGTTTCTTATAAATTAACAAATAGTATTAAAATCATTACAATACTCCACTACGATGATGTTCTTTATGAAGTATCCAGACACTTCAGATGTGAGAGATATTATAGTCATCGCAAAACAATTGGCAGAGAAGAAAGGAGTGTATGACCCCCTTCCTTATATCAAAATAGAGAGTGCCGCGCCGCCCGTTGTGACAACGAAAACCAAAAGAAGGCAAGCGAGTGAATCCAAAAAAGAACAAGAGAAGAAACAGTTAGAAGCCGTGAAACAAGAGTCTGAGAAACAATATGCGGAACAACAGTCGAAAAAGAAAGAGGAGTTAACGAAAGAGTTTGTGAAAGTGAAAGTCTCGCAGTCGATTAAACTTCTTCAGTCGTCCATCTCGAATGAAGGGACTGTTTCCGACATCTCCAATATCATTGAAGCACTTTCCGAGCTCAAGTTGATCAAAGCCTTAATGAATGACATGATTCCTCCTTCACAAGAGGAAGAACTTTTTAAAGAGCTCAATTAAGTTTTCTGTGTTTTTTTTCTTTATATATCGCGGTGACTAGCAACAACGTGGCAAGAACATCAAAAAATTAGTCATTTGTTCTCTGATGATGATGGCAATTCTTCAACGGCAACATCCGTGTCTGTTGATGCGTCTTTATTAAGTCTTTGAGAAATTTGAGTTGGTTTTGGTGTTGGTTCTGTGAATGAAAAACTGTTGATGTCTTCAACAGAGACTTCTGTTGTCTTCGACGCCTCTTTTTGTGAACTTGTCGGTTGGTGTTTTTCAGTTTGACTCGACGTCTGGGAGTCATTAAAATTGACATTAGGCCCGTCCAGAACAATTGGGTCTTTATTGAGTTCGGTATTGCCAATCACAGGGATTCGAAATTCTTTATTTTCTTGTAATTCTTTTGGGGGTTCTATTTCCATTGATGGCATTTCTTTGTGTTTCTCATTACTATTTATATCATTTCTTTTTTCTACTTCCAAAGGAAGAGACTCTTTAATGCCTTGAGTACTAGTATTTTTACTAGTATTTATACTATTATCACTGGTTTTAAGATGCTCCGTCTTGTCTTGCGGCTCATTTCTAAATTCAGTGTAATTGTCTTCTTCAACAGCTTCATCCCCATCCCCCTCTAAATCAGAGTCCTTCACATAATACATCTCCATCACATTCCCCGTCTTCTTCACTAATCTTCCTTGTAAGAATTGAGGCACATTCTCCACTTCTATTTCCTCTTCACTACTCTCATAGATGTCATTCTCGACGTCTTGATATTGATCTTTAATATAAACTTTCTTCCGCTCAACGTCAGTAAGCCGCTCATACAAATTGAAGTTGGGAAAGGGCACTTGGAAACTTTGTTTGTGGTATGGGCAGAAATCGCTGTGGTCCCAGTCCGAGGCGATGACCTTTCGATTCACAATGAACTTCGAGACTTCGCACTTCATCAGCCATTTTGTGATCAACTCGCTTTCTGTAGAATTTGGATGCTCCAAGACAAACAAGTTCTTCAAGTCTTTCGAGTTGAAAAAAATTTCTCCAACAACCGTCCACTTGTCTTCAAACAATGCAGACGCCTTGACATTACTCCCCTCGAACTTTGGGGTTCTGCAGACTTTAGTATGTTCAAGTAGTTTCTTAATAGTAAAGAAACATTCAAAACAGTTCAAGCACTTCAGAGTCGGGTTTGCCGAGGAATTTAAAATCTTTGTACTTGAATTTTGCATCATCGAGTGACTCTGTGGACATCTCTTGTGTACTAAATTGTCGAATTTCTCTTTAATGATCTCTGCCATAAGAGGAGAATACCTTGTGAAACTCAAATCAAACAACTTGCTTAAGGGTTCTGTTGTTCTGTACTCCACGTTCTTTGAAAACAGCGACTTTAAAAAGCAGAATGCCTTATAGTGATACTTCGAGAGTATGAGCTCCTCAATAAAGTGGAAGTTGTGGCCTTGAAGAAGACAAGACGGGTCTTGTAAACACTTCTCGAAGTATACTTCAATGAACTTCTTCATGAAGTCTTGTGTTGGGCGCAAAGGACTTTGTATCAAATTTTGGACAACAGATATTATAGGCACACCAATTATATTAGTAGTAAAGAAGTAAGACGCCACTCTTTTGGGAAATGCGACATATTCAACCACATGTGCTATTTTCTTGTATTGGTCTTTTGTATAATTGGTGGCTTGTTCGACTAAATCTTGAATTGTTTCTTCTATAAACTGAGCGATTCTGACTTCGCCTATTTCACCTAATGTATCGAAATACCCCGACGCTACTATGTCTGATACCCTCTTCTTTAAATCAACAAGAAGTAAAGAAAAGACCGCTTGGTAGTGATAGTTACAATTCGAGAGTAATTTGAGAAGCAATTTTTTCCCATTGATCTTAAGAAGACCAATAAAGAGTTCGGTACCAAACGGAAGTGTTCGAAAAGAAGTTTCTGCGTACATATTTACAATGCTTTTGATCAAATCTTGGTTGTCCAAATTTTCAATAAATAAATTCACTTCATTCTGTAAAATAGGGTTTGGAAGAGGGGTTTTTGTTATCGCCGAATTAATGATGTCTGCAAGACTTTGTTTGAAGTGATTGTCTGTTGTTTTGTCCATACGGGGAGGAATATAGTCTGTCCCCTCTTGTATTGGAGAATTAAGTAAAGTAGTAATAGGGCAAATGACTTGTGACACCTCCATTGTTTGTTTGATATGGAATTTTAAAAATTAATTCAACAGTTTTCGAGTTTCATACTCAGAAGAAAAGGACTAAAGCACTATAATTTGTTATTGCCACTTCATATTTTTAATAATTTCAATAACAAAAAAATAACAAAAATATTATAATGAAAGATTTTATTCGTTTGAATGATGTTAAGATTATAAAAGAGTTTAATTAGTTTCTAATTATTTTTTATTTTTTACTATTATATAGTTAAAAGCATTTCAAAAGATTTGGTAAATAGAAAGAAATAAATTTGTTAATTATTTTAAAGAAATGAAGAAGGTCAATAAGAGCAATATATGCTTAATAAAAAAATGAACAATAATACTCTACCATTCATATCGATGAATATTGTTATTGATCGAAGTGTGTAATACTTTTTTTGTGAATCAAAACGCATTATTCAAAAAGTATCAAACATATAAAAAAGTAGAAGGAGGTGATATTTATATCAAAAAAAAGATGAATATTCTACTGCACACATGCAAACAAATCAAGATCATACCACTCTATTAACACAGTTAAATAGTATATATACCGTTATTAATTATTACCTCTTAAAAAACATTTAAATAGAAAACACAGCTAAAAAAAATAATCGACCTCTAAACATGAACTATATCCCGTTAATTAAGTCTTAAATACAACAACCACCAAGTCAGTTTACAAATCCTCAAAAACAAAAAGCGGAATAAAAAGATCAGACTGAAAAAGCATAACAAATGGGAATTATAAAGGGGAAGAAGAAAGGAAAGGAACAAGAAGTCGGAAACATCGTTGTCCCATACTCTGAGGTCCAGAAGTGTGACGCAATATCAAAGGATTCCCCCCATGGAGAAGTGTATATCAGTCTCTTTAAAAAGACCAAAACAGTGGTGAAAATTTTGAATAAGACGGACCAGTCCAAATTCAAGGAAGACACAGATACACTGAAGAAGATTTTCCACCCAAATATCATCTTGATAATGGGCGTTTGTGTTGAAAAGAGTGTCACGGCTGTTATTATGGAGTCGATGAAGTGCAATATGTACTCTGTTATCTATGAACCAACCCGTTGCCCAAAAGCTCTCCAAAACTTGACTCAACTGTCCAAGTTCAAAATTCTTCGCGAGATAGCTGTCGGCTTAGCTTTCGTTCAGACGGTTGCTCATGTATTCCACGGAGACTTGAAGCTCAACAACATTCTCTTTGATGACTCTGGAAAGGTCAAGATCTCTGATTTGTATTACACGGCGTACAGAACACCAACCAAAAAAGACAAGGAGAGTTACTATGTCTGTGGGAAGACGGGTAACTTGTATCAAGCTCCTGAAGTGTGGTCTGGGAGTGCACCCACACAAGAGTCTGATATTTATTCCTTTGCATTGATCATCATCGAATTCTTGGAAGGGAAGGCCACCTTCTATGGAGATCAGAACATCGCCAACGACGCTGTTATAGCTAAGTTCTTGGAGCTCAAAAGTCAGATCAAAATACCCGACGAGTTCTCTCCGTCTCTGAAAGAAATTTTAAAAGGTGCTTTGAAGTATAATCCAAAGGAGAGACCAACCATCGACGCCGTCTTGAAACAATTTGATGAGATAGTAGTCGACTCGACAATGAAATCTAAAGACGCCATTGCATTCTGGAGGAAGAATTACACGGATGGGGAGGTTCCTATGTACGAAATACCATACGAAGATATGTTGGAGGCGATCCCTACCTTCCCACAAAGTTCAACAGAAGCCGAGGCTATTGCGGAGGAAATTGCTAAATACTTCCCCGCGGAAGGAACAGTCTCCGCTGTCGACTTTGACACGGTTGTGAACTGGTTTGGGCCGTTCTTCGGGGAACAAGCCATCTTCGATGAGATGTTAAAGATAGCGCAGGCTCAATACTTCGCGGGGTTGATCGATAAGAAAGTCGCGGAAGGAAGACTCTCGGGAAAGGTCGATGGGACTTATTTGGTCAGGATGTCGACGACCGACCCTATTAAGTCACCATTCACTATCACACGTAACGCTAATGGAAGCTCAAAGCATCACCGAATAGAAAGAAAGTCATATAAAATGAGTGATGAAATCAGATACTCCTCAACTATCGATAAAAAGACATACAGCTCAAAGACACTTCCAGGCTTGTTGGAAGCGCTAAAGCAGTCGCACATTATTACAGTCGAGGATGATGGGCAGGAAACAGGAAACTATGGAACTGCGTAATTCAGTGCATTAAACCATTTAATCACTTTGTTTTCGTCCATCTGTTGAGAAAAGAACTATATGGTGCTTGTTTAATAATAATTTTTACTTATTATAATAGCTTTTGTCTAATCATGTTTCTTCTCTTTTTCTTTTACTTTGAAATTTGATTTGTTGACTATTATAGTATAAGTAATATTATTTTATATAATATTATAATAATAATATTATAATATTAAATGTTAATAATTATATTATTAAAATATATAGTATATTTGAATAAAACTAATTAAAATGGTATATTGATACTTCATAAGCTTGAAAAGGATTATAAAAATGACAATCGTGACGGAACGAAAGAACAGATAAGGTCAGTTACCTCTAGGCTGGATTTTCAAGGAGAGTTGATAAAGAGCATTCTCTGTGTCTTCTTTGTGTGACCCGACGAGTGTAATAAAGTCTTTAAAGAAGGGTAAAGGTTTAAACGCCGAGTGTTGGTTGTCTTGTAATTCTTTGATGACAAAGAGTTGCTTTGCCATCATCCGACACTTCTCGAAGTTGACATCGCCCTTCTCTGTTTTGTCTGGGTTGCCTTCATCGATGAAGGTCAAGTCTTGGATGACGACACCAATGAATGGGATGTATCCCTTTGTTTTGTTTTCAAGAATGTATTTTCGATACGCCGCATAGCTTTTCGAAGGGTCCGCTGCTTTTCTCATCGGCTCAAGTCGTTCACTCGCATTAGGAACTAATTCCATCGTTTTAGTTAATCGACTGACAACAGAAGAATTGATTCCAGAATAGAACTCGAAGAACCCCGTGAAGTTTAAGTTGTCGTACATGATTTTAGCGACGTCTATGTATTTAGAAATGAGTTGCGCACGCACTTGAGCGTCGGGTTCATTCACTAAAGTTGAAGAAACCCAGTTAGTTACACCATTGAAATGGTCCAAGAAGTAACACAGCTGTGGGCATCGTTCGTACTTATCTTTTTTCGTCCACGCCGATCCCAAGAAATCTTTTGTTTCAATCGATTTGAATAACTCAAATTCATAGAGGGAAAGTTGCTGAGCAATTTGTTCCGCTGTCAGTTCATTCAGGTTTTTCAACTTATCGCCTATTTTCGATTTGGACTCCGTCTCGACCTTTTCAAAGATGTCAAAATTAGGCTTCAGACTTTTTGCGTTGTCAACCATTTTTTTGACTTGCGCAATACCAGCAAACTGTGATGAATACTTTTCAATGAAGTCCTTGATACCCTTTTCCATGTCACTTTCGACGAAGTCGTGGGGGAGGAGCTCCGTCCAGTTCTTCATGAAAATGGTGATTTTGGCCCACTTCTGTTTTAAGCTCTTTTCGGGCTCGCCTGTTAACTGTAAAATCTCCTCACACCTTTTATCGACCAACTGGAGTAACTCAACGGACTTGCAATACACTCTATAATTGACCAACAGTATTTTCGAGAACTCGTAGTCGGAATTTTCTGGCGTGAGTGCCCAATTAAGAAGCACATCAAGCGGCCCGCCGATGACTTTTTTGTCTTCGACGACCAATCCAAGCTCTTTAAACTTCTCTCCAAGCGTGTCTGTGATACTGATATAGACTTGTCTGAATTGGCCAGGACACACCATCAACGTGATTTGTTCTGGACTCATCCCATCAAAGACTCTCTTCTCTTTTTTGATAGTTGGTTCGATGGTTGGTGCAGTCAACAAGGTACGAGGTAAATTACGGTTTGACGAGTAAAACTGACGTGGGATTTTGACGGACATAGAATTTGGTTTTTACCAGTTCTTTTTGAGTTGAGTCGTATTTTTAGAGGGTAGTATATATGGAAAACAGAAAACCAAGAGCTTCTTCTCGTTATTACAACTCTGATTTAATTTTACTATACTATATAGCATTTGTCTTTTCGATGAAATACAAGAAAGTATTGCTTCTTTGCATTCCTGTGGTTAAAATTGAACACCTAATCGCACACAACAGTAATTAAAAATTTAATTAAAATGTATTTAAAACAACTGGACTTGTTTCTTGTGCACCTTGAAAATATAGTAAAGAAGCAACGCCAGTAGTGCGACTCCATTAAACATGACTAAGTAATCGAAGAACACAAGTTGCCCAACAACATAAGAATTTCCGTCGTTTTGCCTCATCACAACAAACGACATATTCTGGATAGCTTCTTGTGAGTCGAAAATGGTGTTCAACAACAGTGAAAGTTGGTCAGTCGTTTGGTCGATAAACGAATGAATTTCATTTGTGGGTAACCCACTCTTTGATGCGCCACTGAGTCCGGCTAATATTTCATCCAATTTGGTCTTTCGAGTATTCACAAAGGTTTGAGTAGTTTCTAGTGACTTGTCTGCCTCTGTTAATGCTCCATAAATTGTTTTAAGATTATCCGCCTTATTCCCGTCGAGTTCTAACGCCGTGAAACTTCGTTTGATCTTCTCGATTTTGTCGGAAGTCAGTTGCGAGCTGATCGAGTGTGTTGCGGACCTTGTTGTGTCGTGCACATCTATTTCTAATATCGCGTGTAAATCAGACAACTCGCCACATAACGCACTTGCACTGACAACAACTCCTCGTGGTAATTTGTATGTAAATTCAGTGCATATCTTGTCATTGAAAAACACTTTAATTTCCCCGTCTGAGTAACATATAGCAAGTTCCTGTGGGATGTCTCTTCGAATACTTGGGGAGCATCCTCGTTTGAATAAATTAACTCCGTCTCTCTCCACTGAGTACTTTTGTTTCCCGTCATTCACCACTAATTGGATTGTCGGAATCTCTACATTGGAATTTTGGTAGGTGTCTATTAAGACGCCAAGCCCATTCCAGTGATCTTGAAAACCTAACGCCTCTCCCATTTGCGGATTTTCTTGTGTTAACCAAAATCCAAATCCATCACCATGACGCGCACTCGTTGGAGACATCGACTGGAACGAAAAAGTCACATTGAAAAAGTCTGAGATGACTCGACGGGTGACATACACTAATCCTCTCTGAGAGGGGTTGTCTTGTGTTAACTCAATTTTACTCCCCGTGATTTGTGCAGCACCTTTTGTTTTGATCGGAGCATTTGTGAATGGGGCTTTGATCACAAGCGATCGGGAAATTGCGAAGAAGACAAGATACAAAACAATTCGCATTGCTTTTTTAAGTTCATAAAATTTTAATTTCAAAATACTAAAACAAAAGCTATAATTTTAAATGGTTGTCTTCAGGAAGTTATAACTTATTTATTATTATATATTTTTACTATTTGAATATAGTATATATTTAATAATTATAACTTCATCTATATGATTTGGTTCGCATTATTTTTTGCTATTTTTATAGTTTAATTCAATTAACATATTTCTTATGTTGTTTAATTAATTAAATAATCTTTATCACTTTTTTTAACAATGTTTTTTAATAAAAATTATGAATAGAAAAAGTAATACAAATACAGATAAATAATATTATTAATATATTATTTTATTTATAATATAAATAAGTTAAAAACATTGAATTACTTTTCATTAATTAACTTATCCAATTATACTAGAAATATGATAGTTTCATAAAAATAATTTGTAATTAAATTATAAATTTTAATAGTTTCAAATAAGTTACTTGTTTTTAATACGAAGTAATTCAAGTTAATAAAAATATACTTAAATAAAATAGTTATTTTGAATGAATAAAATAACTATTTAAACAATAAGTGGAATTGAACATTTAAAACGTTTTGTTTTTCAAATAAAGACTTTTTGAAAAACAATTGTTCTTTTATTAAAATAATTTTGATGAATTGATCCTTCTTTTTTGTAAAAAAAACAATTTTTAATATCATATGAGACTACAATACTTTATTATAATATAATAATTTAATAGTAATAATAATATTATACAAAAACAAACCAGTTATTATGTGAGGAGAAAGAGAAATGAATAATATTTTTGTCAAAAAATATTACATAAAAATGGTTTTCAAACTTTATTGTTTTTTAATAATTGAATTGCAACTATTATATTTTTTATGACCCAAATATAAAATTCATTTAAGTATAATACATTATATTATATATTATAAAACCAATTTAACTTAGTGTTAAATTCATTTAAAAATGCTGTAATGAATATGATACGATATACGTCTTTGGATTATGTAAAAACAAGTTACTAATGGTATGTAATTCAATTTTTTTATCAATCTGTCAATAAATGAATATTTTAAAGTCAGATATATTTGAGTAATAATTTCATATCCTTGATTTGTTAAATTTAATTATATTTTTGTTATTATCATTGAAATTGTATTAATAACACATCGAACCTGTCTAAAACACCGGGAATATCTTCTTAATCAAAAATACAAAAAACAATGACCCCACACAAAAAAATATTGTTGTTTTGATGAAGTGTTGTTTGGTTATTTTTTTTCAAGTTTGACCGGATCTTGTAAAAAAACGACTCTGTGTCATCATATCGCATTATTGCTCTACAAACAACACGTGACTTATTATATTTTGTAAATAATAAATAAAGTAGTCTTTTAAAAAACGGAAGTTGTTTCACTTGATTTAATGAAACAAAACAATTGAAACATGTTTTATTTTTGGTGTCAAATACTCTATTTATACAAAACACATTTCACACAACAATGATAATAATAAACTCGAATTCAGATGGGATGAAAAGAAGTTAAATGTTGGGGAAAGTGACATGAAACTAATAAACCTTTTAAAGTGCATTAGCTAAAAGTAGCATTAACCCACAAATAGTTCTAATAAAGCCGTTAGGATCAAAAGCCTTATCATTCAGTGGAAATCGACCGAAATTTCGAGTAAACAAAAATATTCCCAAGTAATGATCTCAAAAACGGATGATCCAAATTCTCCACAGTTTTTCATAAAAATTCAACACAAAAATAGGAATGGGGTGTCATACTACAATGATAAAAATATGCTCTGTTATTTAAGCATTTCATCTTATATCTGAGTCATTCAGTTATGAACTTCACAAGTGCTTTCACTCATATGGAACAAGAGGCCACTTTCCAGTCGAGACGATCACCACTGATCCTTGTTAAGCAATACTCGAACCCAAAAGTACTCCCACTCCCACATGAACAATCATTCGATAATGAATTCAACAAGGAGTACATCGACGAAGTCGACTTTGTTATTGTGGGTAATGAAGATGTGGTCACCACCTTCGACATCGACAGATGTTCATGCAAGTCTCTTATCACACTCGACTTTTGAGTGTGTTATGAAACTCTCTATATAGACATTATGTAATTTATGTTTTTGCTTTAGTTCTTTGAATGGTTTTTATTTTATAATTTAATGGTTTCATTTTCATGTACTATTATTTTATATATAAACATTTAATAGTAATAATACATAAAAATACCAAGTGTGTTGCTCTGAATTAAGATTTGTGTGTGTTTGTAGTTGTTGGTTTTTAGACTCGAATTTAATTATAAACAAATCTATTAATTTCTAAACAATAAAAAATGTTCTACACAACTCTAAACTATTTGATTAGCTTTAAATTGTCAGTTTTATAGATTCTTCCATTCTAATAACTTATAGTTCAATTATAGTTTGTTTTCAAGAATCTATTTGACCTTTGACCCCTATTTCGCTCATTTTTCAAGGATTTTGATTTTCTTTTCATAAACATTTTAGTCAAAGAAAGTCTCCTATAGAAGTATTTTTTGTGTAATTTAAATAAACAAATTATTCCTATCAAATAGGAGTTAAATGACTCAAATAATACAAATCGAATTTATTATGAAGATTGACAAACTCTGCCTTCCTGTCGACTTTGTAAATCCTGTTGGCGACGTTCTTCATCTTTTTAAGGACTTGGCCTTCATACCCGTCGCAGGCGTGGTCACTTAGTGAACTCAGTTTCGCCTCGATCTTCGCGAATTCCTTATTTTGACAGACTCTCCACTCTTCCCCGAGTATATTCACACACTTACCCAAAGGTAACAAGGGTTGGCCCACGTTGTGTGTTTCTTTGACATCGTTCCATTCGACTTTCTTATCGCGGATGTGCTCTTTGACTATCTGTTGAAAATTTTGACCTAAAGAATCTTCTAAGTCATACCACAAATCACTCCCAACTTTCGATGAAACGGTCTCAATCCGTTCGAGTATGTCTGAAATAGACTTTAAAGAACATCTTGGGATCATGTCACTTCCATTGATAATTGAAACAACACTACTCTGGAACTCCTCCATATTTGCAATGTTTTCGGACACCGACGGAACTGCTCCAAAGACTATACAATTTGTGTCAAATTCTTGGTGTTTTGCTCTTAATAATATAGTGAGGACTTGTGCAACAGCGCCGCCCAGAGAGTGACCCGTGCACAAGATTTTATAGTCTGGATATTCCAAAGTGAGTGTATGAAGGGTCGGAAGGATCTTTACGTATATGGTTGATGCTGTTTGATATATCCCCTTATGGACTAACCCATATACCCCTCTTACACATAACGACTCATAGCAGAACGTGCAGTCTGCTATACAATCAGTGATTGTTGATGTCCCTCTACATGAAATAACAATAGCGCCGATGGTGTGATCGACACAAATGTAGTGTGCTGGACAGAATGTCTTTGAATAGTATTGGAGGGAAGAAATTTGCTCTGGATGAATTCGAGTGTATTGACTTATAATCAACTTGGAGACTTCCTCTTTGTTTTCTAAGTAATATTTCTTGTCTTCGTCGCTCGCATAATCTTCGTATAACTGCCATAGAAACACCGCTTGGGAGTGGCACATGGCCTTATATATAACTTCTATGGAATTTAAAGAAAACTCCAATGATGAGTGGAGGGGATATGTACCAATCCATTTTGTGTGTGGTTGAGGGAGTTGTGTGAGAATTAAATACCCTGAAATAAGACTAATCAAGTCAAGTGATGTTAAGTTCTGAAAATAAAAGATAATGTCTGACAACGAGTTTTTAAAGCTGTTTGTGTAGTTGAATGAAAACATCTCTTGAAAGGATGGCGTTTGGATAAATCTAAGACTCGATGAGAGCGCGTCAGAGATTATAGAAAAGGCTGATATATTATTATGTGTCATCCAAAGATGATTTAGTCGTTATAGTTCTGCCTTTTAAATTCTAAACGTTATTTGAATGTTATTCGATGGAAGTAGACGACTTTAGTCTTGTTTCTGTTCATTGTATTGATAGTTTAATTATAGTATAAATATGGTTTATAATAATATAGTATCCTTTTTTTGACTTTTGTTATAATTAAAAAGAATATTATAGTTTATTATAATTATATTTATAGTTTTTTTGAAATTTTTTTAGAAAATAAAAGGTTATTAGTAAACAAATCTTCAATATAATTAAAATATAATTATTTTAATTGAAATTATTAGTTTATTGTGTTTTTTTAAGAAGTTAAAAATAATTACTATAAATAAACTACTATTGAAAACTATTTAAATTTGACAATGACAATGGTCGACTTTCAAAAAGTCTTTCATCAAATTATTTTCAATCAAGACAAATTCAATAAAATAGTTAAATAAACCATAATCAAACTGAGGCGTTGTAGTGTGTCAAGAGTCAAAGCAATCAAACCCTTTTCCACAATAATAAATATTCAAAGGATGCCCTTCACAAAGAAACCACGCAACTCAGACGACAAGAAGCCACGCAAAGACTTTAAAAAAGGTGGCTATTCTGACCACAAAAAGCCATTTTCTAGTGGAAAGAAAGAACGCTCGGGTGACTCAGCTCACAAAGGACAAAAGGGTTCCCGCTCCGAACCGACTAAAAATGGATTCAAGCGCCCCAATCCATTTGGAGAAAAGGTGACGACTGAATTAAAGAAAGAGTACAAAGAGAAACAACAAAAGAAAGAGGCTGTTGATGACGCGTCGACTCAAATGAAGCAATTGATCGACTCCCATTTTAAGTCGCACAAGAAATGGACTGCCAGTGAAGTCCAACAGCTTTTGACACTTTCCAAAGGGAATATGTACAATTTAAGTCTTCGCCCGGACTCCTCTCGAGTTGTTCAAACTGTTTTGAAGTACGGAGACAAAGAACAACGCAAAGAAGTATTAGAAGAGTTAGACGATAAAATCATAACACTGACAAAAGACACGTACGGACATTTCTTAGTGAAAAAAATGTTTAAGTACCTTGCCCCAAATTTCACTAAAATCTTCATCGAAAAGATTTCGACGATGTTGGGCGACCTTTTGAATCACAAGAGTTCCGTCGATGTCCTCTTGACACTTTGTGACTTCATCCCAAAAGGGAAGCAACATGAGCTCGTAGAAACAATGTATGGCCCCAAGTACCAATATTTGAAACAACAAAACCCACAACTGAAAACTGTGAAGGAGATTGTGGACACTAGCGAAGTCATGAAGAATGTGATTAGCAAGGAAATGGGAGAGACAGTGATGAAGATGTTGAATAAGGAGAAATTTGAATACACTCCGTTCGTCGCGCAGATGTTTTACGATTACTCCACTGTCGTCGAAGGAACTGAAGCAATCGAGTTTGCTCAGACTTTGGCGGAGAGCATTTCTTTGTTTGTGAAACATCCCGAAGGGCCGAAGTTGTTACGATTTGTGATCATGAATTGCTCGTCGAAGTATCGTAAGACACTCGTTAAAGAATTTGAAGAGCAGATTCAAGACCTTTTGTGTGACAAGTTTGGACACATCTGTTTACTTTACTTCATCAGACATGTCGATGATAAAGCGCTCCTTAAAAAGTTTATAATGAGTAAGATCAACACGTTAATGGTAGGGTTAGTCTATGACAAGAATGCTATTCAAGTGATCGAGTTTATTTTAGACCCATTGAATACTCGCTTCTTACCACCAACTATTATCGACCCATTGAAAGACAAGGGGACTTTCAGTATTAAAGATGATGATATCAGATTCAAGGATTTACAGAGCGAAATTAAAGACAAGGTCATTGAGATCTGTAAGAGTGAACACGACGGGTTGATTAAGTACAAACCAACCCGAAAGTTCTTGTCTCTTGTCAAAGAACGCTTCCCAGAAGACACAGAATTCATCACTGCAGAGGACTTACTCCCTAAAAGAGATGAGAACAAGGAACAGACTCCAGAAGAAACAGAAAAGAAGAAACACGACGAAGAGAAGAAAGAACTTGCAAAACCCGAGTCTGACTCAGTCAAGAAAGGGGAAGAGGAGGACGACATCAATGAGATCAGAGCCGCTGTTGCGCACCAGAAGAGTGAGAAGAAAGCGGAGGAGAAGGCGAAAAAGGAGAAGAATGACAAAAAGAAAAAGGGTTACAAAGGCTTGTAATCCCATGACTGCGTTATTAAAAGAATAGTACTTGATTCTATTTTAATAGTAAACGAATGTATAGATTCATTCTAATTCAATGAATTATAAATAGAACTATGTCACTCGTCGACAAGTAACTCATCCAACTTCCTTGTCTTCTCGTTAATGAACTCTTCGATGATTTCCATATAACTTGTGTTGTCCAATTCCGGGTGGTTAGCAGCTTCTTCGAGGATTTTTAAAAGTTTCTGAGCAGAAGAGTCGAAAGAGGGTCGGTCCTCCTCTTTTTGTTTCCACGCCGTCTCAAACACAGCTTTTAAGTTAACTGAAATGGTGTCGTCGAACTCCGGACGCTTTCCATTGAGCACTGCACTCTTTATTTCTTCCTCATTTGAATAATCAAAGAACGCATTTTTCATATAAAACAACTCCCAGCCGATGATACCAAACGCATATTTGTCACTGCCATATGAGAAGTAGTTTGAGAAACACTCGGGAGCCATGTATCTTGTCACTCTATCGCGTTTGTCTTTAAAGTCCCGCACAAAACTGTTTGATCCAAAATCAGTGATTTTGCACACACAAGGCGACTCAAAGTATAACGAGTTAATCAACAGATTGTCTGGCTTTAAGTCGCTGTGAACGATCTTGTTCTCATGTAAGAACTGCATCCCACGTGCACAGTCTATGAGTATTTTGATCTTCAATTTGTAAGGCATCGTAATCACATTCTTGGAGCCTGAAACACTATTTGGTGTATTCAAATAATCTTTAAGACTCCCTAAGACAAAGTACTGCATCACCATCGCGATCTGCGGAAGATATGTGACAGACCCTAAATACCCAACAACAAACGGATTACGCAATTTAGTCATCAATTCACACTCGTCGGTGATCTCTTTGCGCCGCTGCTTCTCCACTTCTTCACTCAAATTGTCAAATTTGAAGAGTTTCACCGCAACAGGAATACTCCGATATTTCCCTAACAGAATTTTACTCTTCTCCGTCTCGGAAATCACTTTGTCGCGAATACCTAACTCATCCATGTCGAGATGCGTCGAACTCGCAGCATCCGTTTTTATCGTGAAAAAGTTGTGACTGCGTTTCACCACTTCTTTTAATAACACGTCAAGACTTCTTTGGTCTTCTGTCGACCATTCCTCAAACGACTTCCCCTTTAAAATGTTTTCTATCTTTTCTAACGTCTTTTTACTTCGACTAAACCACACAGAATATGGGATTTTCATATCTTTAATTTTCGTTGTGCAGCGGAGAGTCATGTAACTCGTCGTGGTCATCGTCTATAATATTAATATTACTATAATTATAATTATAATATTACTATCATTATAATAATATATTATTATTATTAAATAATAAAACAAACAGCTTTTGGTCGTAAATAAGCCACTTGAGGCTCAAAGTGAAAGACGTACTTTGGATTATTTGGGGTGTGAATAATCACCATCATCCACTTATTCCCCGACTTGTTCTTAATTTCAATTTCTTCAAATCGGGTATCAAACACTTCTGTGGGAACTCCTTCATTTCCAAACTCCAATTCAAGCGGCTCAACTATTACACGACTTTCTTCTTCTCGCTCTTTTTTGGTGTTCTTATCGTCATTTACAGACCCAGTTAAGTACAAGTAATACACACTTTGTTGCTCTTTATATATGTCGTAATTCTTCTTTCGCTTTTGTGTGATGATAACAAGAGAAACTATACTAATAAGTATAATCACTATGATCACAAGAGCTACGATACCTATGATCATCCCAAAGTACCACTCAAATCCCTTTTTAATGCAGTTGTTTGGACTCGACGCATCTTGTGAGAACCCTTCTGCACACTCACAGTATTTGTTACAGTTTGTTCCCGAGTCACACGACTCGCCTTCGTCCAGAATCCCATTCCCACACTTCTCAGACAAACATCTATACTCCTCTGTGGCTTTATATCCGACTTCGCACTTGCAATTAATCAAGCAGTGTGGCGTCGATTTCAAACAGTTCTCGTCGACATTGTCCTCCGATGCATTCAAAAGATTTGAGTAACACATTTCAGACACACAGAAATGGTCTTCAAGCTGATATCTGCTTTTACAGGTACAATTGTCAAGACATCCATCACTCCCATAAAAACACTGATTGTCGCCTTTGTTCCCAATTGGCTGCCAACTGTTATTGTAATAACACTTTAAGTCACACGCTTCACCACCATATTTGTCTTCACATATACACTCTCCACGCTTAGTTGAGCATTGTCCATGTCCACTCTTACTGTTACAGTCATTGGGGCAGATGACTTTGAAGATAAGACTGATATCCGTGTCATGCTCCGTCGTCAAGATCGTGAAGTTTCTCAGTCGATTGACATCGCCTTTGACGCGCACTAAGAGCCCAACGTCACTACTCCCATCCCACACCCCATATGATGACCTCCCCCAAAACGCATCACAAGAGACTTTGTCTGCTGCATCAACAGAGTACTCTTCTAAGTACTCGTACCGGTTCGCTATACTCGAATTAACGAGAACAGAGTAATCACCAGAGAAGTCCATAGTGAATATAAGTGCTTTCATTAACTTCCCTGGCGCACAGACAGGGTATAAGTAATTCCCTCTTGAGTACATTGGAAAGTCGACGGTGTAGATTCTCTTTTGTTGCACCATTTTGTCCACTTGATATTTGGTTATAGCGTAATACGGCGCGGAAGCGACGTGAAGTGACTGCGACAAGGAGACAGCGACTTCCACGTTTTCTCCTTGTGACGATAAACTGAGGAACAAATAGAATGTGGTGACTGTAGGGGTACTCTTTGGCTTTGGAAAGGTCAGAGAATTGTCAGTTAAAGTATCTGGGAGGTATCCTCTGACTAAGCAGTTGGGTATACTCTCATTAGGTGCAGACGATGTGATATCGTAAAACACACTTTGCTTCTTCGGAGATACAAATTTGAAGGACAAAGTGATGAGTTGCGTCACTCCAGTGATGTTCACAGAAAGCCACCTGGCAGGGCGATATTGGTTTTGTTTGTTGCCAGCAAAGACACAAGGACCGACGTCGTACTTTGTTTCTGAGTCAAATTTGATCTTCACAGTTTGTTCATACGCAAGTGCGATGTACTCTGATGGCATCCACGTCGTTTTGTTGTAAACATTTAATGTCTTCTGACACGTGGAATTCACTTTGACGTATAGAGGGTTCTCTTCACTGATCGGTATGTTCGGGTTGATATTTTGACACATCTCACAGTTACTGTCTTGGTAATACCCTTCTTTACACGTCAAACATGTAAAATCAGAAACACATGGAGTTAAACACCCAACAGAACATTCAAATGAATTAACGGCTAAAAACAGGAAAAATGGAATATAAATCATTATCTGCAATTTAATCAGTTTCAATTGGGTTTCAAGTTTGAATATAAAAATAATAAAGTGTATTATATAATTTGGTTTTTTATACTATACTGAAATAATACATTAAAATCAACAAATAACATTTTACTGTTGATAATTCATAAATGTTATTATAACCATTTTCATAATAAATTTATTATAAAAAAATTAAAATATATTAAAATATATGGATATTAAATCAATTAACAAAAGAATTAATATTTAATATATTTTTTATAAATTAATATAAATTAATATAAATTATCATATTTTATTATCCAATTAACATAAGTATTAAATACTTCCAAATTTTTTTTTGAAACCAAAAAATACTTATTATCAAACCACTTTTTTGTTTCGTATCATGAAACTTATTATAAAAGTTATAATAAGTTAAGTTTTGTGTCATAACACGGGATTTTTAAGAATTTTGGTTTACACAAAGCAATAACAATGTTAATAATATTTCGAAGAGATATAAAAATGTGTAATTATATCGGTAAAAACAATTTTGAAAACTCTATGTATAAAAGAGTATACTATCCGATAACAAAGATGTACGACTTGTTTGCACACTTCTTTATTATACACAAAAAATTGGACTAATTTAGATTTTTGAACTTCAAAGACTCATTTCACTCCATGCGAACAAAGATATATATTATCGGGTTTGTTGTGACTTTCATCTCTTTGACGACACTCCTCCTCTTCTCCGCGACGTTCTACGCATTAGTTTTTAATGAAAAACCAGCGATTTTCGCGAAGAAGTCTATAAAGGGAGACACTTTCCAGTACCCCGAGACTATGAAAGGGTATAACACGTACTCCCTCTCTTCGACAAAGTTCCAAGTCATTTTTGTTTCTGATAACGATAAGTACAACAAAGGTTTGGACACTTATGGCGTATCTAAAGTAGGATTTGGTCACATTGAATTTAAAGATGGTCAATGGACGTTTACTCCAAATGATGCAAAGAAGTTTGAAGTCAAGGCTTTGTACCAGTACAATAAACGAGGGACCGAATTTTCCGAGATCATAAGTTACAATGGAGAGCTCTATGTGTTTGACGATAAGACGGGTATTGGTCACAAATTGGACACGGTGAACAAGAAGGTCTATCCAAGACTTATTATGGCAGATGGGATGGGAAATTTAGTCACAGGATTTAAGCACGAATGGGCGACAATAAAAGGTGACCAACTGTACTTAGGCAGTCAAGGCCTTGACTCTATAAATCAAGATGGGACTTATGGGAGAACGAACAAATATAGTGTTCAAATAGTCAATACAAACGGCTCATATGTAACAATCAACTTCTCGAATGTATATAAGTCCCTTGAGACATTGATCAACATCAATTTGCCGGGGTACACAAATATGGAAGGGGTGACTTACTCTAATATGAAGAAGAAGTGGTACTTCGCGCCACGTAAAGTGTCCAATACATTTTATTCTGACGATCACGACGTTATTTCGAGTGGGAAGTACATCTTTACCATGGACGAAGACTTCAAGAATCCAACAGTTAAAGAAGATGTACAGTTCAACGAAACAAGAGGATTTTCAACACTCAAATTATTACCGTTCCACGAGGACTTGATCGTCTATATCAAAACATATGAAAACGGGGCTGCTTTACAGTCGTGGATAGGTATGACCAATGCAGATGGAGCGAAAATGATGGAAGAAGTTTCTCTAGGAAATGATAAGTACGAAGGGCTTGAGATCATTCCACTCGATGCTTAAGACACTTATTTACTCAGTCTATAATTTCGTTATTTTAATTGCTCATCCCTTACGTAATAATAATAATATAATATTAATAATAATATATTATTATTAATATAATAATAATATAATAATAATGTAATAATAATATATAATAATATATTAATATAATAATAATATTACTATAGAATATAATATTACTAATATATACTATTACTAACCAATACTAAACATAAAATGCCACACATTACTTGTCTTTGTTGTCTTCATTCACTTTCTCAGCATCATTTGTTTCACTTTGTTGGTGTTGAGCGTTTTGTTCTTCACTATACACAACATCTCGAACTACTATTTCACTTCCCGTGTTATTCTCCTCGTCATTCACAGGTTCTTTCGCCTCTTCGCTTTCTTCAGTACTACTAGATGACTCGTCTAAAATAGGTTTGTAGTCCTTTTCGCCATAGTGAGCAACATATGGGTGTGGCTCCAATGGCTTTTTAACAAGAAGTGCGAAAATCAGAGCTAACACAAACGATCCCAAAATGAGTGAAAGTGCGACGATGACGGTGATTAAGTCTGTAGCAATGCCGAAGTACAACGTCAACACACAAAATAGAAATGAAGGTGCGCAGATGAAAGCCAACAACCACGTCGGACCTGCGTAAAACGGTCGTTCCAAGTTGGGGTATCTTCTTCTCAACTCGAAAAAAGTAATGAAATCGCCTATTAAGAAGAACGCAGACAACGCACTTGACACTCCGACCATCTGTGAGAAAGTTGTTGTAAATACAAATATCATAGTAATGAATGTTGTGAGTAAAATACACGTATCTGGTGTTCCAAAGTACGCATTGTTTCTTCCAAACCACGTTTTGAGGGACTCTGAAACATTCAAATTTGCAATGCCCTGAAACCGACGTGCAGTGAAGCACATCCCATTCAATAAAAGACCAGAAGACGTCATTAAAGCTCCAACAAATAACATCCACGACACTATCTTCCCCCATACACCAGCTTCGAGTAATTCGGAGACATATATAAAGGACCCTTCTTTCCATATTGGCCACCGTTGATCGATACCAACAGCAGCCATTAATGGTGTAGCTGTTGTCAGTGATGTTAAAACGACTAAGAAGAAGAGTGAGAGTGGAATCGTCCTCTTTGGGTTTTTGACTTCTTCGACGACATTAGCTGCGTTCTCAACGCCATTTAAGTTCCAAAAGACAACAGAGAAGAACATTGGGAGATTTGCGTGTTCGAAGGGCAAGTAGGTTGACACTGCATTCCAGTCGATTTGTGGGATGGCGGTGAAGAAGAAGAGAGTGAAAGGGACTAACATCATAGTTATGATGACGATCGAGACAATCCCAACGGATCTGATCCCAATGAAATTGATAAGAGCAGACAACACAATTAAAAACAGTTTAATGAGGTATTGGTAAGGTATTGCGATGGTTGCCTTCTGCAGTAAATATGAAACAAAGAGTGTTGGATACACGGCACAGTCCAAACACGTTGATATGAGTGACAGTAATGTGATGAATGGTGTGATGAAGTGACTGAACTCACCAAACCCACTTGCAAACCATGTGATATATCCAGCGTTACTCGGCAACGACAACGAGATCTCCGCAGTAAACAAACACATCGGAAATTGGACAAAAAACGGAAGAAAGTATAACATGATGATCCCTATCAATGGACCAACTGAGGAAATTATCTGCTCAGTTCCATACGCACCACCAACACATGATACGTACATCATTGAGAGTAACGAAACAACTCCCAGCGCACGTTTTGGATGAATCGTTTCGCTCGTCTCGCCCATACAGAATATTTCAAGTTCGTTCCATTTTTTTTTGAGTTCTTTTGTGTTGTTTCCTTTCTAACAGACGGGTCAAGGTTGAACAGACAGACAATCACTGGTAAACTTAGAATTGGTTAATCTATAGATTATAGTTTATTTTCTATAAATAAGTATTCAAAGTAGTTTGGTGTTATGAAAGTATTTTGACTTGTAAGTGGTAAATGCCAAATGAAATGAACAGTAAATAAAAACAGCGTGAAGCAATTAGAAAGGAGATGTCGAAAGTTCTGTGAGAGAGGTTATGAGGTATGACAAGTCTGAGAATTGTCTGCGTTGCTTGTCGCCAATGGAGCGGTCCAAGAACTCACCAAGAAAGTAAGAAAAGAGGGAAATAGAAAGAAGGTACGTCAAAAAATAAAGTGTTTCGGTGGGTGTTTTGATCATCATCTAAGAATTTTGAGTTTTTTTAAAGGTTTTGATGATTTTTATTAAAATGAATTTTTTGTTGGATATAAATGATGTTAATGAATTGTTAGTTCCATCTTGAATAAGACCTCAACCCTGCCTTTTTTCTATAATTCACGTATAGTTCCAAAAAATTATATTTTTGTTTGGATTTTCTGTGAGGGGAACTTTTGCTTTTAATTCGTTGACTATTATTAATGGGTAAGCGAAAAACCAAAAAATCAAAAAAGGGGATTATAAACTTCATTTGTATTTTTGAAAAGAATAACTAACTAATTAATCGAATCTTCATGCAGAACATTCTATTTGTAATTAATTTTAAAGTTAAAGTAATCTGGTGATATTCCAATATCGCCAGATTATCACGTTGAAAATATTATGTAAAGTTCGCTTGAAGTTTCTTAAATATTAAGTACCATTATAAAAGTATTGAGTATTTGGCGTTTAAACAGAGGTTTCTAAAATAATTATTGCCGAAAAAGTGGTATTATAACGTACGAATTTATAAGAGAAAATGAACATTTTGGTTATGAAATGGTGACGTGGGTAATTAGGATTGGGATTTTGGAAACCTCTGGTTTAAATGAAGTAACTAAATAACACACTTTTTTAAAACTAGAATTATATAATAATAAATGCCAATAAATTGTGTTTTTCATAACTAAAGCCAGATCGAAGAAAAAACACCAAATAAAAAAAATTATGGTTTTTTATTTCAAAACAGACTGTTACGTTATTTTTAATTAAACTCCACCTCTGTTTAGTGTTCTTGTTTTATTATTATTGTGACCACTAGAATGGCAGTCTTCTTTTGATCGACAGCCAGTTATCCATTTATATTTGGAAAACTGCTTTTTATTTTAGCGATCTTCCGTTATACTTTTGGACGATTCAATAAAAAAACAAAAGTTTTGCAATAATTGAATAACACCTAATTTACATTGGAAATTGTCAACTTCATTGCCAAGTTTTGCTTTCGAAAGTCTTATGTCCGAAGTTAAAACGGTAACTCTCTTTGATAAAAAGAACTATTTGATTATAATAGTGCTATGTGGCTTATTTGGTTTGCTTTTTATAAAACAATTATTGTATAATTTATAACAGCAAAAAGCCAAAGAGCTTCTTTTTGATAAAACGCGCCTTTGACTTATAATTATCACCACTTATTATGAACGAATGAATCATTGTTAAGCAATTTAATAACAAACCAAAAACCTGTACTCATTCCATTTCTAAAAGTGGAAGACGTATCATTCCTTAACAAATTTACAATCACTCAACAAATTTTGATAATTTTTATTCAAGTCTTTTGAAACAGAAATATTTTATATTTTTGTTATATAGAAAATTACCCAACATATCAGCAATAAAATATTAAACACAACACTGATGAAATATTTGGATTGACTTGAATTAAATTCTTACTTTTGTAATTAAATAACCCGATTTTTTTTGTAGAAAAAAAGAATTTCAAAAAAATTCAACGAATTAATTGTTTTAATTTGCCACTCTTTGGTGGATTTTTTAATAATTAACTTTTTCAAAACCTAAATTACTTTTCTGTCTTCAAAATAAACACAAATTAAAAAGAATAACCAAAAGCGAAAGAGTGGGGTCGAAGAAATATTTCAGATAATAAATAAATGGAAATGTATTTATAAAGTTTTAAGTATGACAAAAACAGGGGAAATTTTGTCAAATTTGCACCGATGTTCGAATAAGTTTTAAAGCATCAAAATCAAATGCGACGAAACAATTATACCAAAACAAACAATTCCACAACAAAAATAACTTCTTTGTTTCGATTTTTTATAATTGTTTTACGACCCATTGGCAAATTCAGTTAATCAACCACTCGATCCATTTTTCAAATTATATCAACACCATTAAATAACACTCAAACTATCATAAATAGTACCATTCAACTCGCAAAAATGTTAAGTGCCAACTGCTTTCAAAATGCCGCGTAATATTGTAGAAAGTTATTAAATGGCAAATATAAAAGCCAATATAGAAACTGTTAAATCACTGTCGAAGATGATAGTTCTCATACAAGTAATCACGCTTTTCTTATGTACAGTCCACTCCACGGAAACAGATGAACTTGTTGACCCACTTTGTATGACCGACTTTGTAGCTGTAGATATGAGTTCGGATCAGGCTCATATAGTCAAGCAAAAACTGTGTTATGACCGCATACCCAATTATACACACGTTATCCATGGATATGACATTCAATCAATTTGCTTTGTGCACGAAGATTATATGAATGTCAATAAGAGCACAGGAAGAATTAATAGGTTTGTTTTAAATAGTTTCAATTACTAATAACTAATCTAAAGATGTGGTGAGTGGCTTCAATTAATCGGCCCGAGTGAGAAAGTAGTCGACTGTATGGTGGCTGGATATATAGTCATAGAGACTGACGGATCCACCGAGGCGATTGAACGAAGAACTATAGGTGTTCCCACAAACATCTTTGCTCGACTGACTTCTGGTGCGGACAATGCCGCCAATTATGTGACACAAGTCACTTTATTTGAAGTTGCGTTTGATCTGGGAGTGTCTCCGTCACTCTATGTCTTAAATAGAACAGAGGACACAGTCACCATTCAATTCACAGATCACAATAGGCCAACAGAGAAGATGGCAGTGGAATATAACAACACAATTAAATCGTATTACAAAGAGTTTGACGACACTTACATCATCCCAAGAATTAAAGATGATATCAACATCCAAATGGTCTCTTTTGATGATGAAAAGATTAGATTCATGGCAATCAACTTGGACAAAGAAGACTCCGCCACGGCGCGTGTGAGGTTCCCAGCATACAAAACAAAGCCCTGCAAGTTCAGCGCGGACACTGAGATCTTCGACAGAGATGTCAAGTTGGTCGAGAAACTGACGTTCCAAAAATGGCAAGTTTGGATGCTGAATGAAAAACTTGATGCGACAATGTTTGAGTGGGGAAACAACGACATTTCATTGACAGCAGAAGGCGGAAATCTGACGATTGGATTTGCTTATGCGACTGCTTTGAGAATACAAAAGGACTTTAAAGAGCTCAGAGTCGAGATGGAAATAGATGGAGACTATGAGTTCATGCAGTCCCATCTGTTACACGACACTTCGCTATTGGAAATGAACTTTGCGACCATTTCAGTTGTACAAGCCGGTCTACCAACTCAATACTTCAGACCGAGCGGAGGGAAGACCCTTGAATTGAAAGTGGCATTTAACATTAAGAGTATGTTATATGCAAATGTTATAACTATCACTCAAAAGTTAAGCAAAGGCACTCACGTTGTACTGAAAAGTGCAAATCTGATAAGGGAAGAGGAAATGAAAAAGTCTGACCAATGCAATTCAACGGCGTTTGATTGTTTGAACACTGAATGCACAATAGACAATGGAACATTTGAAGATGGAGTGTCACCTTTCATAAGTGGATGTATACCAGCATGTGGCGTATGTAGAGATGGGTTTGTCTGCTCTAAACATGGAATATGTGTTACAGAGCCAGTGTATAATTTAAGGGAAGCTACTACTGGTGTTGCTCTATTTTTGGCTCTCATATTCATTTCTTTGTTGTAAAAAAATCCGTGTTGTATGATTTAATGTTAAATTTTAAAAAAAGGTATAAAATATGTTAAAATGTAATAAAATTTGTAAAGCTGACATTACAAAGCAAGTTCACCAAAATAAAATGAATAATGAAATTATGATTGATTCTCTTCATCATTAACAGCCCCTATCAATAATGGATCTTTTTCATCATCTTGTGACTCTCGAGATAACTCATCATCACTTGGCTCACCAGCGATTATTATGAAACGACCAATTATATACCCAATTACAAGTCCAACTGTTTCAAAAAGGAAGAAGTACAATGCCGAAATATAATCCATAGAGTTTGAATTGTTCACAAAAAGTCTGACAACCAACAAACACGGATTGACTATCATTCCACCTTTGAGAACATAAACACCAGCTGCTATAACAAAACCAAACGTTAATGGCATGTCCCAATTTCTTTTGAGCCCGACAATTAAAGCCATTGTCAATGCTAATTGTCCATAAATCTCTGACATCTCAGCTTTGATGTCGTAACTTTTATCTAAATATGCAACCGCGGAGTCCGTGAATGAAATATTAAGTACTATGACGCCAAGACTTCCACCTGTCAGTTGTCCAAAAATAGAAATGATCGAATTGATCACAGTTATTCGCCCTTCTAACAAAAGTGGTATTGTTATATAAGGATTGAACTGAGCTGAACTGACTGGAATAAACATTCTGACTAATGGGACAAGAACAAAAAAGATGACCAACCCCGCCTCCAACTGTGTTCTTGCGAAAAAGGGAGAAGCGTTGGCACAGAAAAAGAGGATAAAACATCCGATGAATTCTCCAAAGAAATAACGGAAGGATTTGTTACGTACAATTTTGTGGTAGATTCTTTTTATTTGTTTAAGAGTGTGTGTTGTGTTTGAAACGCTCATTATTTGATTCAAAAAGTTGTACGGGCTTTATTAAAGAGTTTAAAAGAAAAGTTGTTTGCTGTAGAGTTTCACCCATTTACGAGCCATGAAACAAATTAATGAATTTCTACTTAAAAGTGTGTTCTACCATCTTTTATGAAAACAAATTATATATTTATTAGTTTTCTGTACTATACAATTATTATATATTACAGTAAGCAAGTGATAATTTGGAATTTTTGGAAAGCGTGAAATTGGTAATATAATTTTATTATAGTTATAAATGTTTATCAGATAATTAAAAATTTAATTAATAAATAGTTATAAATAATAATTAGATGCTATTGAAATAAATAACTTTTGTGGGACCTACGTTGACCACCACCACCCCGTTTACAAAAAAAAAATATTTGCCGCGAGTGTTTTTTGAAGGAAGTCCACTTTTCAGCCACTGTTTGTGCGTCCCCATGTCACCCACTTTCCTTGTCCGTACTGTGTGGACGCGGATGTGGTTCCCCCCCGCTTGCGGGGGGGTCAGGGGGGATCCGCGCCAAGGGAGGACTTGGAAAGTGGGTGAAACGGTGCACAAACAGACTGTTTGAGTGCGTCTTTATGAGCCTTCTTTTCAATGCTCCGTCTCACTCGGTTTCCACTGACTCGAGGTGAATTTTCGGCATTTCTTGAATTCGGGAACCAGACCTAATATTATCCCAGTTTCCTATTTACTATAATTTTAATTTGAATATGATTCGAAATAGAAAAAATAAATCTATTTTAAGAGGTGGTGGTCAATGTAGGTCCCAACTTTTGTGTTTCTTTTTTAGTTAATTGTAATCTATTACCAGATCGGTTTAATTTTTTGGATAAATTGCTGTAAGTTATAGCCATTTTTGAGGAAATTCATTATAAACTTAAAACAAACAAAAAATATGGTGTTAGTTGGGCACTTATGCTTTTATTTTTGTCATTCATTTTTACTATTATTTAAGAATGTGGTTTGAACCAAAAGCATATTTTTTGGTAATCATAAAAAGTCTCTTTTCTTAATTTATTGAAGTATTAAAAACATATTGATTGATGTGTAAAAACAATTAAAAGAAAAGGTTAAGAAATATAAGGAACTTGAACATTTATCATAACACTAGTTATTCATGATAATGGTTGTAATGATAAATATTAAAAATGTTCTTTGAGATTCTAAATCGAATAAAAATAATGAAAATTTCTAATGATTTTTTTTATTATATAGTCGGGGGATAAATGGCATTAAAAAGGGACAAAGGTAGTTAATTTTGATAAATATAATTTTGAAACTATAATTTTTAAAAAATCTATTTAAAGGTCAAAATAAACATAAAATTAAAATAATAATATAAATTATCGTTTTTTATTTTAAATGATTATAAATTGAATAATTATAAATTTCTATTTCAAAAATAAACAAAAACACCTCAATTTGTTCACTTAAAAAATGTGGAAGTCTAAAACGCAGCACTTTTTATGGTTTGTCTGAAACTTGTTTTGTTAAAGAATTTTTCCTTTGTTTCATTTCTTTTCTGCTCTTTTTCAACTCCAATTGTTTTTATGTTAAAATGGTCTTTCTCTTATCTTTTCTCAATGGAAATGGTTCAACAACGAAAGATTGAAAGATTGAAATAACAAATGATGATTTTTCAGTGATTCCCTGACACTTTCAAAAATTGACACTGTTGTTAATTCATTAAACTCTGGCATTTTAACCATATACATCATGAATATATATTGAAATACAGTTTTTAAACTGGTTTCTTGTATTTAAATTGCTTTTTTATGTTGATTGCCTGTGGTTATTTCATCAAGGGTTCCTTTCTCTTCTTCTTCCATTGTTTTCAAAGATTGAATAATATCAAAAATAGATAGTTATGGTTTTCTTTTATTATTTTCAAAGTAGTTAATTGAAAAAACCCTTCTAATACTTTTATGGTTAAATAAATTATATTTTATAGTTTTTTACTCAAATTAACTACTTCTGTCCCAAATTAACCCCCTTTATCACCCGACTATAATAAAATTTAAATTTAAATCATTTTTAACTATAACATTATAAATTTAAAATATAATTTTTTTAATAAAATGTTAATAGTATTTTATAGTTTATTAATAAATTATAAAGATCTTTTGTTATAATGTATTATTATAAAATTAAAACTATAGTATAGTAATATAATTATAAATAGTTATAGTTTTTGTTTACTATAAAAAATAATTAAATAATTATATTAAAATAACATTTGGGGCAAAACAATTGTTTAAATAAATAGGAAAGAAAATGTTATAAAAATGTCGACATCAAATTGTAACATATACATAAAACTATAAATAAATTATAAAAAGAACCATACGAATCTAAAATGAAGAGATCTCCAATTTTCATATTTTTACATTGGTATGATATTTCTCTTTTTTCTTGCTATAATGACACACGCCGCTAGTGTTTTTGACGAATACAATGAGCGCTCCAAGACTGCCCAACGTGAGCTGTTGATTGAAAAACTGAAGCGCCAAAAATCGATTCGATTGATTGGGAAGATATCAGGAAGTGCATTGACTTACAACGATATAGTTCGTGGACTTATCTCACAAAATGACAAAGAGTGCGAGGACGAACTCACTGACAAACGGATCGCACAACTTCTGAGCGAGAAAAACAAAGAAACTGAAGTCAAGCGAATGGAGTTCTTGAGAAGACTTGCACAGAAAGAAATCGACAACGATCAGTCGCAAATAGCTAACTTGTTGCATGAAAAAGTTATTTCTGGCTCAGCCACAGACCTCAATGCTATTTCTGATAACATGCAAAGAAAGTGGAAATTACAGCGACGCGCGTTAAACTTATTAGAGCGTGCGCGGACCTCGAAAATCGAAGCCGTGACGTTTAAAGTGAAGAGTCAAAAAGAGCCAAATGCCCAGTATTCAAAGCTTGCTGGATACAATTTGCGACTCACACAAAGAAGAGATAAAATCGCACAGAAAGCTATTATGAAAGCAATTGCCGCGTCACAAGTCATACAAAACTTAATTGTGTTAAAAGAGGCTGAAATGAAGAATTCTGCACTTGAAAATGCAAAGAACATCTTGAAGAGGACAAATAGACGATTCAAGAAATTTAATATCAACGACAAACTGTTTTAAAGTCTCGAGTTAAGTGCTTACTGATAATTCACATTTAAGAAGTCGTTCTGTGTTAATGAATAATAGAAAAGACTAATTGACTTGCTTGAAAGGTAATGGAAGGAACCAATAGAGTACATTTGGCCCCAACACCGCGGTCAAATTTTGGAACTTGATTTTGTGTGGTGGGACGATTTCACCGGCGAGTTCACGTGTGTTTGACTCGCCTATTTCTACGCCTGTTTTCCCATATAACAAATCTCTTGTGTGAATATATAACATCGCCCCCATACACGCGAATAAAGAGCAAGAAATGCATGTAATCATCATGTAAATATAATACATAACAAATGTGAAGAACGAGAACGTGTTCCATGGATTCTTAATGAAAAGAATTTGATACCAAAAAATTAAAATGTTCATCGACGAGATGAGTGAGAGTAAAAAGATACTCACTAAGAGCTGCCAGAACGATCGTAAATTGTTTTTACCGACACAGGTACATAACCAGGAACAATGGTGATCACGACAATCAATACACTTCTTACATAACATACAGTGATATGTACGTGGTGGCATGAAAGCGTTACAATACACACAATACCTTGCGCTGTAAATCGTCTCAATCAATTTCTTGCCATATTTCTGAGCAAGCGATGCTCGACGCTTTGCGTCTTCTTTTTCCTCTTCGGAACAATCGGGGATGTAGTTCTCTTGAGAAAAGGATGAAGGTATTGGGACAGCGAGGCGGATGCTCATGATGAACACAATGAGTACTGAGAGTATACAATAAAGGGGATGAGTAGTAAACATATCGAGTTTATAATACACAGTATAGACCACCAAACTCGTACCAAACAAGATGAGAAGAACAGCATATAAGATCACATATTTCTTGAACTTAAATAGGCACCGCATCCCCCATTCCTCCATCTCAATCTGTTTCTTGCTCAATTTATCATGGTAATCGTAATATGGAGGTGTCGGTAAGGACGGCTTTCCATCATCTTCAATCATTTTGACTTTCTTGGATTATTTGACAAGTTGGATAAGTTACTATTATTTTAATTTATTTATATTATTTATAATTAATACATTGAATAAATTAAAAGTGTAAGAAAATTAATTATTAAAAAAAAATTGAAAAAATTGATAAATTGTTATTTGAATGTTATTAAAATGTTATTGTTTTTCTCTTTTTACTGATCATCCAAAAATAAAACGGCTAAACAATAATAAATGGCACCACGTCATTTGTCTTTGAAAAACACTAGTTAAGTTGTATAAATAATTAATAAGATAAGAAAAAGCGTCTAATACGGTAGAAATGCCGAGACTACTTTTTTATCTAATTCTTAAGTATTAAAATACATAGAAGTACTATATTTAAATTAATAAGAAACTTATATAGAACTATAGATCAAGAAGAGACTTGGATGAGTGTTTTTAAGAGGAACTCGTTAATTAACTCCAAATCACGATGTCACGTTGGTATGACAACATAACCGAATCGAAATATGAGTCAACTGAGCTTTACACAACAAAAGACGAAATCACTTCAGTCTCTGCGAAATCTTCGAAATCGCTTTTGATCACTTTAATGAACGGAACGGCGGTTCTTAAAAACGACGACAAAACTGAGGAAAAAACACCGAAAGACGAGAAAGATCAAAAAGAGAAATTTATTGGGAGTTGTGTCTTTAACGGGAACTATTACATTCTCTCAGAGCACGCGATATTTAAAGTCGACGCCGATGCACTCGCGAAGGTCAAAGAGATTAAGGAGAAGTGCACACAAATAGCCGCGACGAATGAAATCATGGTTGTAGCGACCGAAGAGAACAAGACGTTAGTCTTTGACGAGGAACTTCAAGAGGTCAAAACCCTAGAATTTCCCGACATCAATCAAATTAGGTGCAACGGGACTCTTGCTGCGTTTGCGATAAAGAAAGGAGTTGAAGTCATCACTGGGAAGGCGTGTGAGTCGAAGGATGATGTTTACTTTAACAATGGTGTGATGAAGACGTACGGTGAGTCACAGTCTGTCTGTGTGACAAAAGATGACAAATACATAGTAGTTGGGAACGAAGAAGGCCGCATCAACTGTCTTGAAAAGAATGAGGCGCAGTTTGTCTTCTACGCGCATTGCGACAAGAAAGAGAACAAGAACTATAAAGTGACTGCGATCAATAGTTATAACGATGGGTATATCTTGACAACAGGAGAGGATGGGATGATCAATGTGTTTAACTTAGATAAGAAGGAAGTCATTACATCAATTGTAGTGCCGAAGAGTCAAATACTGAATGCTTTAATTAGTGAAGACAAGCTCATCTTCATTGTGAAGAGTGCAAATGAATATAAAGTGTCACTCATTTCGATAGAACCACTGCTGGAAGTTGCTCCACAAATTGCGCAAAAGATTCAGAAGAAGCGCGGGAGGAAGACAAATGTGGAGAGAGCGAAAACTAAGAAAGAGAAGATGATGGAAGAGGAAGAGTCTCCGAAGAAGTTGCGACCCCGGAGAGGAAGGAAAGCAAAGAAGGAGGTCATCGAAGAAGTCTCTGATGAAGAGGAAGAATCTTTGGAGTATTCTTCTGAAGAAGAAGATTCGTATCAACCGGAAGATACTGACTCTGAGGATGATCGAGTGAAACACAAGACGCGAGGAAGAAAGGCGAAGAGAGAAGTTACTGTAGTCAAGAAAGGGACGAGTGGCAAGACGGTGAAGATACTTGGCAATGATAGAAAGGTTGAGAAAACACTGAAGAAGGAGATCTCGAAGAAGGGGCTATTCACATTAACAGGAATGAATGGGAAAGCAGATGTGGTTGTTTCTGATGATGGGAAGCGTACCATTGAAATCATCGACAGCTTGGTCCAAGGTCTTCCTATAGTCAGCAAAGACTATATCAAAGAATCACACAAGGCAGATAAGGCACTTCCAGTGACACAATATTTGATGAAAGACAAATTTCCTGGTGTGAAAGGGAGTGTCAATGAGAAATTGTTTGAGAACAAAACTGTTGCGATATTTGGGGAGCTCAAAATACGAGACCCAGTTATTAGAAAGTGGGTGGAGCAGCTTGGAGGCGAACTGATTGCACGAATTAAGAATGCGAATTACGTCTTAGTTGGGCTCCACGAATTTAAATGCGATGCGACAAGAAGAACGGATGGATTTGCCGTGAAGGAGGAGTGGCTGTACGACTGCATATCTGAAATGAAACTTTTAAGTCCAGAGACGTACTTGGTTGATGGAGAGTTTAAAGAAGAGAAAGAGAAATTAGTCGAGACAGACGCACCAGCTGGAGATAAAAAAGAAGAAGCGACTGGAGTTAAGAAGCGCAAAGAAACACTGAAGAAGTATAAGGACAAAAAAGAGGCCAAAGAAGAGAAACTAAAGGAGCACAAGGAGACCACTGAAAAGGTAGACAGCAAGACGAGTAAAGAAGAAGTTGCAAAGGAAGAGTGTAAAGAAGAGAAGAAAGAGGAACCTGTTGAAGAGAAAAAAATGGAAGTGGAACCCCCCAAAGAAGAAACTAAGTTGGAAGAACACAAACCAGCAATGGAAGAAGAAAAGCCGAAACCTGTAATAGAAGGAGAGAATATTACTGCCAAGAAGGAGGAGGAAAAACCTCAAGAAGACAAAGAAACAACTACAAACAAAGAAGAGAAGAAGGAAGAGAAGGTTGAAAAGACCGAACAGAAATTGGAAGAAGTTAAAGCATAGAGACTGAATTTTATCAAATTTTTTTATTAATTGGTTCGACTTGAACTTCACATACCATTCATGTCTTTTTTGTGTTATTTTGTTATACTTATTAATTAAATAATTAAATGGTATTTTCTAATTATTTTCTAATTTGTTAATAATAAAAAAACAAATAAATTAATAATAGTAAAATTAATTAATTTATTAATTATTTATAATAGTCACTTAAAATAAAAATTCATTTTGTCTTACATTGAATTTTGTTATTATCATTGATACCAACCTTTGTTCTTTTGTTTAAACATATTTAATGAACACATTTAAATCTAACTCCATTTGTTTTTATCACCGACACTTCTCAATCATATGGTTGCACACTATTACATTTGTGAATAAAAAAGATTTTAGTTTTTTGATTTTATCTATAATAAACAAACTATAACTTATAGTTATTTATTTTAAATATTTTTTTATTGTAAAAAGGAATTAAAGTTACAATTTGTGGTTATTTAATTAGATTATTATATCAAAAAATGTTTGAAAAAAAATTAATAATTTTTAATTTACAAAGGTTAAAAAAGTGAACTTATTGAAAAATCCGATTTCACAAAAATATTGGTTTTCATCCACAAAAGTAATTAAAAATATAATGAAAAAAATAATGTTAATTTATAACTAAACAATAACATAAAATATACCATTATAAATAATATTAAAAAAATAATTTCAACAAATTTTATGATTAAAATAATATTAATATGAATAATTAACTCTATAATAATAATATTTTTCTGAAATGATTTAATTTTCTGAAATAAAAAAATGCCAAGAAAAACTATTTACTACTATTTTTAATATTATTATATTAATATTTAGTTCAATTGTTTTCTATATTTTAATATAGAATTATTAAAAATAGATAAAAAAAATATAATTTGTAAGTTATTTCGGAAAAATATTAATGTAATTTGAAAAGTAGCAAAAAAAGATGTACAAACACGGGGAAAAAACGTGTTAATAAAAATAAAAAATAGAAATAAATCGTTTGATATGAATTATCGGCGTTAATGAATACAATATACCAATTATTTTAATAATTAATAATTATATATTAAAAATATTAATTATTATAATTATAACCATAAAACAAAACCAACGACATATATATGCAATCAACAGTAACCAAAAGACACCTTTTTTTAAATAAATCTTTTGAAAAACAAAGAAAAAGACTTTTCTATTTAATAGAGGTATAAAGAAATGTATAAAATCGGGCATTTTAATTATGAAATAATCGTATTTATAATATTAGAAGAGGAACTCGTAAACTTAAAGATGTTATTATCAAGACTGTCATCAACTAAGCCCAAGAGTGACAAGAGATACAGTTTAAGGTCCATCTCGAATTTTTCGAGTTTGGAGGAAACGATTTTTAACTTTTCAAACATCTGTATAAATGAGGGTTCGACTCTATTAACTGGAACTTTAGAATTGTGTTTAATAGGAACGACTTGTTCTTTACGATATCACCCCATTTCGGTCTTTTCAAACAATAAAAACTGCCAATTAGATGACTTCAATTATATAATAAAAGTGGAGCACTTACAGAGGATCATAGTCACACAAATTCAAACCCCTCACCCTATTACTAAGGTGAGTGCAAATAAAGTGAACTTCGTTTCTGACTCTTCGGTCTTTCTGAAATACCCCGACTTCTGTTTCCTTCTCGCGAGACTGTTGATGTTCTTTTGAAGAATTTCAGATCTATGGATTTGAAACAGTAAAAATTTTAACATCAAATTCATTTCTTTTAAGAGACAAAAATGAAACATTTTTAATCAACAAACAGAACGCCGAAGGATCACCGACTGTCGAATTAAACACCCCAAATAAACTCAGTGCCTCGCAAAATGTACAAAACTTGTCGCCGTTGGGAACTTTAAGTGGTAGCCCGTCATCCGTCAAGAACTCTCCGCTGAAAATGGCAGACACGTTACCGACAAAGCGACAGCGATCGAAAAGTGTTTGTCGCTTTGTTTTGGCGTCTCCTCAGAAGATTCAAAAGTCGATGTTTCACGAGACGTGCATTTCAACATCTTACGAAGAGAAAGAGACGAACTTCCAGGCGTTTTTCCCGGAGCAAAAATTGGATTCAGAGGTAGGCGAGGACACTATTAATAAGTATGCTTCAGAGGCTACAATACGGTCTGAACTGTTTTATAGTGGCGCGAAGAGTGAAGTCAGACTCTTTGCATGGGAAGTATGCCTTGGGACTGACTATTCCAATTTATACTTTCCGTCATTAATATTGGTCGATTACTTAAACGTGGTGAATGCCGATGACTGGGAGAAGTTAAAGAATGACATCACACTTGATATACCAAGGACTGAAATTGATAACACCTTTGTCAAGAAATGGTCCAAAGAGGGGAGACTAATGAAAAAAATAATTGAGGCGTATTGCGCGTCACACCGGACCGTCGGATTTAAACAGGGCTGCACAGATATTTTCATTATGTTATACCAAATCACTAAAGATGAGACAAAACTTTTCTCTTTGTTTTGTAATGTCATGGAATTTATTAATCCATTTTGTACAAATAAGACAGAAGACGTTCTGACATCTTTTTCGACTATTATTGAAGTTCTTGATAAAGGGTTGTACGACGCTATAGTCAAAAATTGTGGGGGGTTCACCTTTATATACCAATGGTTGCTTCTGCTTTTTAAACGAGAGTTTGACTCAAAGACTGTGTTTAGAATATGGGATGTTTGTTATTATTATTATTATTATTATTATTATTATTATTATTATTATTATTATTATTATTATTATTATTATTATTATTATTATTATTATTATTATATTTATTTATAGAGCATCTTTGCTTTCCCATCAAGAAGATTCCACTTGTTTATTGCTTCGACTATACTCATAATGAACGCAAAGAGCGCGAAAATGATGACCAGCTTCGAGCAGATTTTGTGTTTCTTTAACACAAAAATGAAGGAAATTAATTCGACTATCATATACCATGCAGACTTGATTTATAGGACGTTTATAAGCTCATGCAAAGAACCGGCAAAGCTTAAAAAAGTGTTTGGGGATCAAGAGATGATTGACAAGAATCTTGAAAGAGGGATTTCGCCAGTCATTTCGCAGCCACAATCGCCGAAATTGCACAGCTGCAATGAAGTTGATAAAAATGTGAGAGATGATATCATTAAGCTTATTGGAGAAGAGCCTGAGGTCCATCCGATCAGACCAAATGCCAATGAAGAAGAAATAGAATTCCACTTGATTGAGGTCTGTGAACATGACAATTGGTGTCGGAAAATGAAATATTATTTGAAGAAAAGAGGGTGTGAGTGATGAGTCAATTGTTGTTGTTCTATGAAGTGAGTGTTATTATGTTATGTGTCACTTTGGTTTAGTTATTTGTTTAGTTATTATTTAGTTATTATTTGATTAAATAGTAAAGACAGTTTTAGTTAAATTAATTAAAAGTTATTAATTTTAATATTAATAAATAATAATACTTGTATATAGTATCGATACTAAAAAATAAAACTTAAAAGTATTTAACTTAAAAAGCTACAATGAGCAATATACTGAGGAGAACCACAAGTTGAACTAGAGACGAATCTGCTTGATTGGCAGAAGACTCGAATTTGATAATGAAGACATCGACTGGTTTCAAGTGAATAATTAATTTTCCATCTACACTCTCTTCATGTCCTATTCCCATTACCTTCTGGTAGCCATTTCCTATAAGCTGTATTGTTGCTGTTCTCTCACTTTTTTCGTCTGCGTTACAAACGATAAAGTAATCGTCGTTGCCAACTCTCCGTTTTGTAAAGACGACTTTGTCTGTTTCAACTTCAACACTATAAATTGAGGGCTCTTCAATTGAAAGAATGACGTTTTGAAGATTGTAGACTTCATCACTTGATTGGACAATGTCTTTCCATCTTTCTTCAAAAGGATCAGTGCTGTTCATTCGTATCAAATCAAAGTATGAATAATAGAAGACGCCTTTTGCGCCTCCGATGAAACTCAGCCAATTCATCGCTCGGAGTTCTTGAAGTGTTGGAGCGCGGTATTTTGCATTTTGCTTTTCGTACGCCTGGTTATTCAACACTTGAATTGCTGGCCATGTTGAACGTCTTCCCATAGTTGCATCATTTATGTACTTCTGTGCGAAGTAGACTGAGTATACAGTGGACTGATTTACTGGGTATATGTCCATTCCATAAGCATCGAAAGCAGGCAAAAAGGTCACCGTCTTAGAGTACTGGAAATAGACTGAGTAACATGGATGATTTGGGTCTTTATCTCTGACAGTCATAGTCAAGTTAATCATTTCATCAAGTCCACATTCAGGTGTTTCATCGTCGACATACCACGCAAAGACATTTGGATGGTTTTTGTACATCTCCAAGTAGTTGAGAAGTGTTTTGTACTCAGTGTTGGGATAGTCTCTGACTTTATTACAAGTGGCTAAATCGTAAGAGTACAAATCTTTCACAGAAATGACAGCTTTGAGGTTTTCACCATATTTAGTGTTCATTGTGTCTAACATTGCAATGTTTGGCTTATTGTAAGGTAACATGATAGTTATATGAGTTTTGTTCATTAAATCCATTTCTTCTTCTGTGATAACAGAAAAGTACATCCCAATGGGTAACGTCAGTTTGCCATTTTCATAGACCCTTCCGTATTTATCAAATTTGTATTTCCTTTGCTTATCGCTGACTCGATTGAATTGAGTTTTGACAAGCTCTTTTGTATTGTCTGGTATATATAACAACTCGGCGACAACAACATATATCCCCTTCTCTGTAAATTCGTTATAAAAAGTGCAAGAAATAAGTTGTGAAGTCACGTCAAGAGTCTTTGTCTTCTTTATAACATTGTTTTTTAATATGTTTACAGTCATTTTAAAGTTAGTATATTTAATTTCTGTTGAAGCGTTGTGTTTAATGAACACTTCAAAGTTCTTCTGGGAGTCTTCTATTTCTTGTCTATAACTGTTTACTTCAACGTTCTCAAGCCAAGCTACTACTTTTGTTGCAGAGACACTGTCTATTAATACAACGCCTGACGTGTCTTTGTGAACATAAAACATGGCATCAAATGTGTGACTGCTGTTTTTTATTTCAGGTGTTTTAAAGCAAAACTGTTCCCACCCATTGCTTCGGCTGTACGCCTGACTATAGTACCCAGTCACATACTTACCATCAGCTCTTTCTTCAATGGAAAATTGGAAGAAAGCTTTTGTGTTATTTGTAAGTTTTGCATAGCAACAGAGTTGGTATTGAAAACCTTCCTCAAAGGGTATGTTCTGGTCAACTGATTCAATTTTTGTAGTCCCAGTGATCTTTATTGATTGGGTACCTTCTTTTGAGTCGGCTTTGTAAATTACAGAAGAAGAGCTCAGCGTCCAATTTTTGACTTTAGTGCCGTCCATGGTCTCAAATGATGGGTTAGTAAACAAGTTTAGTGAATAACTAAGCGATGTGATGGAGAGTATGACAATAATGTTCATTGTGTTTTAAAGAGTGGAAAGGATATGTTTAAATAAACAGAAAAAAAACGACAACGAAAACCAAATGTAATAAAGTGAATTATGACAAGAATCGTTTAATGAAAAAAGAAGAAAGAAATGAAAGAGTCGTAGCCTAAATTTGGTTGGCATATTTAACATATGTTTATACTTAATTGAACAAATCAAATGATTGATATATCGAAAGACTGAAAATAATTTTCATTTTAAATATTTTAACACAATACAAAACATGAATTCTTTTTTAACACATTCTTTGAATTATAAAAACGTTGATATAACTGTGTGAAAAAAAAATCTATTTGGAATTTTCAACGACTTTTATTCGAACAATAATTCTGAATATGTTATTAACAATGAAAATTAAATAGCAAAAGATAATATTTCAACGTAAATGCATTTATTTATGTAACAGTTTTGACTTTAAATTTGATCACATCCACAATGTCTATTTAAGCAGAGTGTCCAAAAAATGATTTTCCCCAAATTATCATTTTGATTTTTATATTACAATTTAAATGATTTGTGAAAACGGGAGTATTGGTCTAAACACTTAACTTGGGACTTATTTTGATTTTTTGGACATTCTGATTTAACGTGTTTTCTAGACACAAGAAAATTGTTATTTTATTATACTAGTTCTTCGAAAACGTTATTGAGTTGTTATAAAAATCGTCACTTGATGATGGTATAATAGTATTTAAAAAAAATTATAAATAAATAAAAAATTTTTAAAAAATAGATCATTATAATTCTTTATTTACTATTATATTATAACAATAATATTATAATATTATAATATTATAATATTTATTATTATTATAATTTACAATAAAATTAGTCAATTATTAACAATTTACAATATTAATTTTTGATAATAAAAATCTCAGGGATTTTTATTATCTATAAAAGCCTATTGTTTTTATAGTTTGACTAAATTTTTTAAGTTTAAATTAAGTTGAACTATTCAAAATAATGAGATAGTGGAATTATTTTTAAGATTATATTATGAATTGTTTTTGATAAAACATATCTGGTAAAAAATAGATAAATATGTCAATGATTAATAATAAAAATAGTATTTTTTTAAATAAAAATAAAACTATAAAAATATAAATACCAAATGATACAACAAAAGATCAGCGACCACACTCGCTCTAATAACGATGCTTATCTTTATCTTCACTGTTGGGAATTGGAACTTGTAAGGTGCCAACACTGTTTCATTGAAATAGCGACAAAACAAAGGCACTCTCAAAAGAATTCTGGGTCTCGAAGTTACTTCAGAGTGACTACGATGTGGGATTTCAATGGCTCAAAGGTCTATGACGAGCATTACATGGACGTATCTTTGTCTCCTCCTGAATTGCCGCCCGACAAGTCTTGTCGCAAAAGAAAAAATCCAACCAAACGCGATAAAGACGCCATTCCCGTTTTCCTTTGGATGGCGAATAATTATTTCACAGTACAAGGCTCTGACCAGAAAAACACCGCAACGAAGAAAGCAAAGAAGAAAACATCCAGAAATAGACTTGACTGGGTATACTGTTTTCAGAACGATACGTTCGTGAAGTGTGGGAAGGAAGACATCAATGATAGAGGAAGGATGCTCTATGAAATTCTCGATACAAAATTTAAAGACGAAAGTGTGAAGAAAGTGATATTGTATAATGACTTGGGACCACTTACAGCACAGATACATATTGTCAAGACACACAATTGCTTCCTCTTTTCTGAA